TTTCTTGCCCCTGCCGCCTTGCACATGCGGATTCCGGCTAGTAAAGCTTCATATTCTGCCTCATTGTTTGAGGCCTGAAAACTGAAGCGTAGAGCATACTCGTACCTGTCGCCCTCTGGCGACTGACATATGACGCCTGCTCCACAACCATTTGAAGTAGAGCTTCCATCCACATATACCTTCCAGACTTGGTCTGGAACTTGAGAGTCAGGAGGACGAGTCATCTCAACAATAAAGTCAGCAAAGGCTTGCCCCTTCACTGCTTTTCTAGGCTCGAAAGTAACTTCGAGGCTCTGAATTTCTATGGCCCATTTGATCATTCGGCCTGACGACTCCATGATGGTCAGTGGCCGCTTGATAGGTTGGTCTGTATACACGACAACTGCATGTGCCAAAAAGTAGGGCTTCAATTTTTTAACAGCCATGAAGAGTGCAAGACCAAATTTCTCCACTAAGGGATACCTCAACTTGGCATTTTTCAGTACGTGACTGACAAAGTAGACCGGGAGCTAACATCCGTCTCTTTCAGCAAGGAGAACAACGCTTAACGAATGATCAGAGACGGCCAGGTACATGTAGAGTACTTCTTTGGGCAAAGGGCTGACCAGCCTCGGCAAGGAATGCAAGTGAACTTTCAATTTCTAGAAGGCGGCCTCAGCATCCGGCCCCCATTCAAACCTTGCCTTTTTCTTAATTGCCTGGAAAAAGTATAAGCATTTGTCGCCTGATCGGCTTAGAAATCTTTCCAAGGCCGCCAGACAACCTGTTAACTTCTGAACCTCTCGGATGGTACGAGGCGACTGCATGTCAATGACCGCCTGCACCTTCTCAGGGTTTGCCTCTATTCCTCTCTGATTGATAAGGAATCCGAGAAATTTCCTAGACTCAACTCCAAATACACATTTCTTGGGATTGAGCATGACATGGTGCCGCTTGAGTGTGGCAAAAGTTTCTCGGAGGTCCGACAGATGATCTATCTGAAGCTTAGTCTTGACAATCATATCATCAATGTATGCCTCGACGTTTCTCCCAATTAGATCAAAGAACACAGTGTTTATCATTCGCTGGAAGGTAGTCGGGGCATTCTTAAGACCAAACGGCATGACCGTGTAACAGTATAACCCCTGATCAGTGACGAAGGCCGTCTTCTCCTGATCTTTCTTCCATAAAGGAATTTGATGGAAACCAGAGTAGGCGTCCATAAAGCTCATCAAAGCATGGCCGGCTGTTGAGTCGACCAGGTTATCAATTTTAGGCAGAGGGTAACTGTCTTTGGGGCACGCCTTGTTTAAGTCTGTGTAGTCTACACACATTCGCCAGGTGCCATTCGGCTTTTTAACAAGCACCACATTTGCAACCCAGTCTGGGAAGTAACATTGCCGAATGAACCCTGCATCAAGTAATTTTTTAACTTCGGCGGCTGCCGCCTGACTTCTTTCTTCGCCATGGTTCCGCTTCTTCTGCCGTACCGGCTTCTTTTTCGGATCCACAGCCAGTTTATGTACCGCGAGATCAGGACTAATGCCTGGCATTTCATTGACTTCGAATGCAAAGATGTCCTTGTATTATTTCAATAGTTTGTAAAAGTCGTCACCTAGGACTCTCAGAGCAGTCGTCCCAACTTTGACTGTTCGGTCAGGACGCGAGTCGTCTAGGATCAGATCCGTATGCTCACCAGCCGGCTGAGGGCGGAATTCATCCGACCGCTCCTCTGCCAATGATTGCTATTTTCTGTCTTTTCTTGCGGCCCCTGTCTGGGATGCCTTTCTCTTCTTGCCGCCTGCTTCTTGAACAGGCGCACTCTCCTTGACATTGTCAAGGTCTATTTTTCCACCACTCGACCCAGTGGCCATAACAGTGGGTTTGACATCCGAGAGATAGCACTCTCGCGCCATCCTCTGATCTCCCCTTAGGGACCCGACTGTTCTATTATCCCTCTCAAACTTGAGCAACATAAGAGATGGGATTATAACAGCCTTGGAATTATTCAGGGTTGGTCGTCCCAGAATCATGTTGTAAGCCGAGAGTTCTTCTACTACCAGGAACCGGACCACCATGTGTCGTCCTTCCCCTTTTTCGCCCAGGCGGATGGGTAAATCCACTCGTCCCACTGGGTGGACGACTCCTCCTCCAAACCCTACTAAAGGGTGGGATGCCGGATGTATGCAAGCAGTCTGATATTTTAGTTTCGACAGACATTTGCTACTGATGAGATCTGAGGAGCTTCCGGTATCTATGAGGATTCGGCCAACTCTCTGGTTGGCCACTTTACATTCAATAACGATAGGGTCGTCATGCGGCCCTCTTACCCCTCCTAGATCTTCTTCAGTGATGACAATCTCAGGAAATGAATATTTGGAGGGTCGTTCTTGGTGAACGGAATGCCCCTGATATTGTCTTTGTTGCCCCTAATAGTGGGGCCGCCTCCTGAGAAGCCGCCTGCAATGGTGTAGACGACTGCATCATCTGTATCGGAGCTGTCGGCCTGTTGATTCTTTTTGGCCGACTGCTTTTTCGAGGAAGTGTTCCCCGTAGATTTCTTGACATAAGTGTCAAGATCACCTTGCTCAGCCAGGCGGTCCAGATACCGCATGAAACTGATGCAATCATTGGTGTGATGACCAACATCTTCATGATAATCACAGAATTTTTCTTGGTTCCGATAGTTTGCAGAACCCTTCATGGGGACCGGCTTCTCAATTGAGATCCGTCCCTTGATTTCCTTTAGGATAAATTGGCTATCCTTGTTAAACGCATACTTTGGGGAGTATGGTTTGAATTCTTTTTTCTTTTTCTGGGCCGGCTGTTTAGAGGAATCAGCCGCCCAAACCTCTTTTCTCTTCTCGTCTTTGTTGGACGACTGCTTCTGTCGTCCTTCTCTTTTGTCGGACCTTTTCCCGTCCGACTGTTTTACCGTACTACAAAGATTAGTCGCCTGTATATAGGCTTCCGCTTCAATCAAGGCCTCTTGAAGAGTCGCCACCCTCTTTCAGACCAAATCAAATTTGAAGGTCGACCCGTCTTTGAGACCTCTGAAAAAGTCAGTATAGGCTACTTCATCCGGTAACCCTTGAATCTGTATTCTCATCAGGTTAAACCTCCTGATGTAAGAATGAAGCCCCTCCTTCTCGCCCTGCTGAATTGTTCCTAAATCAAGAGTCGTCTTCTTCGCAGGGATGTTCATGGCGAAGTTGGAGGTGAATAAGTAAGCAAGCGTCTTGAAGCTATTTACACAACCAGTCGGCAGGTTGCCGAACCATTGTTGTGCGATTCCTTTGAGAGTCGCTGGGAAACACTTGCACCAAGTGGGATCATCCAACCCTTGAAGGTACATCAGGTTGGTGAATGCCATCAGATGGTCTTCTGGGTTAGTAGTGCCATCATAGGCGCCTACTAATACATTTTTCACTTTGGCCGGCTGAGCGGCTTCAGTAATTTCCTTGGAGAAGGCCGACGGCTGTTCGCCAAGTCTAAGCAACCGTAGCTGCCAGTCCATAGGTTGGACATTTTTTGCTGCATGTCCACCAAACGGAGGTGGCTGTAAGAAATACTGTTGTTGCGGTACAAACGGTAAGTTTGGTACTGCCTGGTCGCTATGATAGCCGGACTGACGGGAGGTGCCGCCTGACTGACTCTCATGATACGACTGAGTATGCCTCATCGAGGTATTTCGCAGACTGTCTTGGAAGTTTGAAGTAGAGGCCGACTCTGACAATCGGTCACTCTTCTTCTGCTCTAGCAGTAGCCGAGCGTCTGTGTATGATTTCCTCGACCCGTCCGCCTGAATATGACGAACAGGTTTCCTATTTTCTGGAGTAGGAAAACGGTATTTTGTGAAATCAAGGGCAGGTGACTTCCGCTTCCTAGATTTAGGATGAGGAGTCGCCTCTCGCCCTTGAACTGGCTTCCTCTTCTGTGAAGTGGAGGGTTTCTTAGCCGACTGCTCCTTGTCCAGAGCAGGCGGCTTCTTGTTGATCAACTCTTGAATTTCTCCCTTGAAGTCCCTCATGAAGGTCATGAGTTCACTCCTTGTGATGGGAGCAGACCCATCAGTCGGTTGTTGCCGAACAGGCGGTGCGCCTGCTGGCTCGCTTCCTGTATGAAGATGTTCCCGTTCCCTCCTTTCGGTATGACGGGTACGTCGGGCCCTTACGGTCCCGTCTGAAGCTGTGTGAGCTTCAACTTCAAATTCATTCTCAGTATCGTGGTCCGACTGAACTAGTGGGTCGTCCAGGGGACGCCTCTCTTCAGGAGTCGGTACAAACGTGGATGCCATCTCAGAAGTACTCTCCCCACAGACGGCGCCAAATGTTTCGGGGTTTTCTGATGTCCTGCGGGAGAGTTACAATTCCGAGACTGGAACCGGACGCCTGTACCTGCAAAACAACGGAGACTCCTGGTGGTGGGAGCTCCGCCTCCAACGGTCAAGTTAGTACTTGATTAAGGAGTAATTAATGCGGAAATTAAAGTGATTGGGTCTCTCTAGGTGAGAGTGTTTAATGTAGGTAATCTGCTTTTTTAGCGTGATCAGCCTGTTTTTTTCCTTAATGAGGATTAAGGGAGGTATTTATAACCTCGGGAAACGTGCCAATCTAGGTTTAGGTTAACCTTGGGCTGATTGGGCTTCCCTCGGAAGTTGGGCCTAGGTGATCGGTTATCCCATGTGTTATGGGAAGGACACGTGTCGTGTCGTAATTGGTCCAAGGTGGACGGATCATTGCTTGACACGTGGCAGGCTCCTATTGGCCCATGTGACGGACACATGGCGGAACCTGATTGGTCCACTTGTCAGATGGTGACTGGTGGGGAAAAATCCCCTAATCAGCAAATATTGTTGACATGATCTACAACTAGAAAGTAGAATTTAACCTAACAAGTTAAAATAGACAAACATAATAAAATATTCTACAATGACAACTTCTTTACTTTTCGCTAAAAGGATCTAGAAGACTACAACCATTAAATTTTTTTCAAATTAATAAATTAAAAATAAATAAATAAATAAATAAAAACCTTGCATTTACAAATCAAAATTTACATTCCATCTCTTCATCAATACAATACTAGTATACTACATACGGAATACTAACCTCAAGTCAAAAAAATATTCTAAATAGCAATCCACGTTGCTACTACTAATAATAATAATATTCCGTAATAGTTTTAACAAACTACTAATTAACAATATATAAAAATTGGGGACCCACAACTATCCCTATTTTCCTCTCTTTTGCCTGCTTTTCCCAAACTTTTTTTTTTTTTTTTTAAAGAGCTTTTCCCAAACTTTTAATAAAAAATAATTGAGATTACAAAATTTTTTGGGGTGGTCTAAAGTTTGTGGGAGCATGATCCTCAAATTAGGCAGCAAATTCCTTCAATAAGTCAAATATCTTTAGCTCTAACAACCAATCACCTTGATTTGCTTGGTGAATGTGAATTAGTAGTTTCACTTTTCCAATAATCCCAATTTGACCATTGTAGTCTTGAGAGTTGAGAGTATCTTGAAAGTGGGAAAATTTTTGTACCCTTTATTTAGGGCACCCAATAACATCCAAACACCTTGGACTTTTGGAATTAATTAACTTCTTCTCCCCAAAATTGATGGATAACTTCGACGTAGTAATAAGCTTGGCTTAATCTCACTCTTTGGTGAAGAAAAAGAATTTTTATAACCCTAATAAGATGTAGTAGACTAAGGTAATTGGTAGCGCTATCAACATCCCAAAGATCACGCTGTACACAAAAATTGAAACATCAAGTGTTAGAACTTTTTACAACAATTTATATGTAGCCATCTAGTAAAAGACGATCTGGCTAATTCTAATTCATCAAACAAAGTCAATTTATACAAAATCACATATAGTGAAACTAAAAAGTATCTAAAAAAATAAATAATTAGTATGGGTTATAGCTATATTCAATGTCATTTGATCACTTAAAATATTAATGGACTGTCACTTGTCAATTTGAAATCCAACACAATATTATTGGTTAGTCTGTTTTTAATTAGCAATACAATAATCTTCAAGAAGAATACTTATATGAGAATAAATTAAAGAAGCATATTACTATAGTCTATAGTCCCTATAGACAACAACTCTAATGTTACATAGCACAATAGGTTATGACCATTAATTGTCATGATTTATAAGATAAGATTCATGTAACATAGATTATAATTACTTTTGATTATTTAATTATGAAGAAAAATCAACTTTTCACGTGTAGTAAAGTATAATGCAACATGATGAAATGCAATTGATAGTCATTAAAGTTTGCCGTTCTTTTGTTTAGCAAATTGCATCTGGTTAGGCACGTAAGCACGTTACAATTCATATTATATATATAAAGTTTAATTTTTTTTCAATAAAAAAAATTATAATATATAAAGTGAAATAAAAAAATAGCTTTAGAAATGTACTTACGCAGTGCTCAGAATGGCTGGATGATTGTTGTATTCTTTGGCAAAAACAAATGGGACAATCCCTTGAGGAAGTGCTGCCTGTTTTTTATATTAAAAATATTATAAGTAGGCTACATTTATATACTCCGTATCATGTTATTCATGTCGCAAAATAAGTCAATATTCTATATGACTGAGTGTGTTCTATTCACCTGAAATTATCTAAAATAATTTATTAACTTGATTAGTAGTGATTAACTACTTATTTAAATTGATTAGTCCCGATTAGACCTAATTAACATTGAGATTTAATTTTTTAAGATGAACAAAAACTATTATCATTATTTACATTGGTTAAAAAAATTTATTGGGTTGATGAGTAAGTCAAAAATATGCGTACAAACCTGAACAATGGCAATTCGAAGAAGATCACCCCTTAAACCAATAGCAATGGCAGCCACCGCCATTACCGCCGGACCGGTAAGAAATCTCACAGCCATAGCAAAGGTAGCAACTTTATTCCCACATGCAATCATCATTGGTTGTAGAGCCATGAACAAACCTTTCAAAAGTTTCCATTTATACAAAAGAAAACAATTATTCTCTAGTCATAAATCATAGTAGTACAACAAGTATAAGTGTAACAAATTATGCATCCTACTCATATTAGCATCCACCAATATAATTTGCAGAAAATATGTAACACAAAAACATGAGATAAGGTTTTAATTGTTACTTGTTAGTAAGACCTAATGGCCTTCATGCTAGGACCACAAACCTACGCAGCACAAAGGTAATGGTCCCACATTTTTGTACATACGTCAGTCCATTACTAACCACAACTCTAAATCATGTCAAAGGGACTTTTGATATTATCCTCATATAAAATATTCTAAAGTTACAACTAATAAAAATCGAAGGTAGTATTAATCGTTTCAGATCGTAATTTAAAAGCATTTGATGGGGGTTTTGAACACTAGACCTTAAGGAAACAAGATCTAACTTGTTACCATCTTAGCCAACAATAATTCATGTCATCTATACAGATAAATATAACTATAAATGACACGCACCAATTAAAAAGGAAAAACGAAATAAGCAGTTTGAAAAAAAAAATTAAGAGGAATAAAATCAACATTTCTCAAAGTTAAAAATAGTCTTTCTATACTCTTTGTTAATTAGTCCCATTATGTTTAACATTTATGCATAACATGCATAATTGATGATTATATATTTCATTAAGAAACAATTTAGTCACATTATGTTTAACTAGTATGCGGCCCGATGCAACGCCTGGGCCGCATACTAGTGTATTATTAAAATGGGTGATTTGACAACGATATAGAGAAATTGTATTCCAATAGTTAATACTCCGTATTCTTTCATGATATGATTTATTTAGGGCATTTAAGAATATACCATACAAATTTATTAGGAGTTCTTAAAAAGTTATGAAAACTTAATAGGTTGATTGCTTTTCTTAGACATTGCATTAAATGGTGATGAGAAAAATAGTGGTAATTGAAAATTGTGTTAATCGATTAAATGACGAAAATTTAAGAACACTTATTTACAGTACTAAAAAAAAAATGTTACTCAATCTCAAAAGAATTTTAGTAGATTCAATCCCTATAGCTTAGGGTATAATGGTGTATGACTTAACAATGAACATATATATTTTCATCATAAAATCTATCTTTATATCTTTTACGAAAAAAGAAAATGTATCTACTGTTTTATGTTTAGCAAAATCCTTTTCAAAAAACAATATTCAAAGTAATAATATGTTTGCTTCAAATCGAACGACAATGGATTCCTCAACTATATGTCATCAAATTAAATATGAAGCACATTTGTCCCTTTTTCTAAAGATAAAAATCATGTTACAGACTTTAAAGTCCAACTAGTATAAGTTTAAAATAAAAGAAAACTGATGTATAATACAGCTGTATATAATCAATTTTCAATAGGAAATGTTTTAGAATACGTGAATTTAATATGCATTTCTAAATTAACATAGTTCTGATAACCGTAGAAAATACATGTTTGTATAAAACACAATATATACTAGCGATATTTCAATTCGAGTAACTAATTAATTAACTAGCTAACATAAAATGACATTACATAATTGCCCTCGTTAAAACAAACAGTAATTTTCCACAACATTAGCCATCTAATAATCGAGAATAATTACCCCTAAGGCCCTAACAAACAAAGAATACTAGCAACAAGTCCAGATGCTAGATTAGGACAACCATGATCAAGGAAGTTAAGGGAGAAGAGAGAACACTTTAGTAAAAAGCAAAAGCACCGAAAAAGGGGGACATAATTGGAGCATATGGTTAAATGTCAGCTTTGCAACAGTGTCCAAATAAAATTAGCATAAAGAAGAACGAGTAGTTATCGATCAATGTCCTATATAATTCAACTTATTTTATCTAAAATTATCTTATTTTAAGTTATAAACGGATTGTAAGCTTTTTTATAATAAAAAAAAGTCGACATAAAAGCGAAAAACCATCCCAAATAATTGCAATTGATTGAAATTTTAAAAAAATAATAATAGAATTTTAGAAATTTTATATTTATATAATTTGGTGTTCTAGCAAATGGACCTACATGATCGGTTAAGAAACATAGCACATGGGAAATTGGGAAGCATCAACCAGAAACGTTATGGGAGTATAACTCACCTAAGCTGAACATAGCCATACCAAGTCCAGCATCTGAAAGTATTGAGATTGATTTCTCTATTATTATCGGCATTTTCACATGAAACCTGCATTTGTAACCAAACATTCATAAAACTTTATATGTATATAATTCATTAACAAACAAAAGCAAACAAACAAACAACTCCTACTCCATATGTTCGGATATAATTGTTACTTCATACGTTGTTGTTAGTTCTGATTAAACTAGCAACGTGATTATTAAATCTTGAAAGAATGATCGACTATTAGTTTTAGTATAACATAAAATATAAAATTAGTTTAATAGTAATTTGAATCAATAAAACCGTTAGAATCGAGAGAGTATGTAATTGTAGAGCATGCAACACTTTCTTAAAAGGCGAAAACCAAAAAGGTTATGAGAACATTATTTCTTTGGCTAAATTTTCTTTGGTAGGGTCTAATTAACTTACCGAAAAGAAACCAATGACCAAATTAGGCCGATTAGACTTGAATACGTGTTGGGATTTCTAATCAATTTTCTCCAAACCATGATTAAGATTAATCTTGTCATTACACTTGCCGGAGGCATATGTTTAGCACCACCTAATTCCTCCGCTGCCGCCACCGCTTTCGGGTGTAACTCCGCCGTCGAACTTGACCCCAATTTGTTTATCTCTGCCATCGGTATTGCCCCTTCCTTTTCTCTCTCCTCTTCTCCACCTGTAAAGCTGAAATCCTCCCTTGCAAATTCCTCACTTTTCCTAAGCCCTGAAATCAATAATGGGGCTGTTTTTTGGAATTTATATATATATACATTTAATCAAACAGACAAATCCAACATTGTTCTAATTTTTTTTAAAGCTGTTTAATTTATTTTCCATATATCTGCAGTCAAATTGATTATTAATAAACTACAGAGTATTTTGTAACATGATTGGTTCGGAAATTCATAACAAAATTACGTATAGGAGAATAAATAATAAAATTAATTAAGAAAGTGTACCTTTTGTTTCACCATTTTGTGGCTGATCAGAAACCAACATCCGGATTTCCTTAGCGCCTTGATCAGAGCGACCAGATTGATCAGGAGTGCCGAAATCATTACTCCCAAAAACGTGGAGCCCACCAACCTCTGAAACAGGAGAAGCACTAGAGCTCCACACGAACATGTGAAGCTCTTTAGCATCATGGCTCAACTTGCTTTGGTGGTGTCCTTGTCCTTGTCCTTGTCCGGGCTGCGCCTGTTGTTGCGGGCCCGGCTGTACTTGATTCTTTCCACCACTCTTATTACCACCAACACCGCCACCACCAGCACTGGCACCGGTTGTGCCATTGACAAACTCCGGATTCGGCGCTGGGTAAGACCCAGCAGCCGAAATCGGAGGATTAGTGCCAGGAGCTACTGTTGGGTAGAACCCGAACCTTGGAGAAGCGTTCGGGTTCTCATCGAAATTGGAAGGACGAGGGGTAGGTCCTCGTGAGGATTGTACTGAGTACAAGTCGGCAGGCCCGAAATTCGAGAGCCTGCCACCAAATCCTTGGTATCCCATCATAGAATAAAAATCCGAGGTATTGAAATTCGACCCTCTAGGGGTCGGATTTCTAGAGGAGCTGAGACTGTAAATCTCAGCTCCTGTTAAATTAGACGGTCTTGGTGTCATACCAGACAGAGACCGTCTAGAGGCATTAGACTTCCTCACCACAACATGGAGTTTTCCATCTTGTCCTAGCTCAGCGTCCGTCTCTAGGAAGTCCCGGCCGTCTAGCGAGACAACATCGGAATCGACTTTGAAGGATACTATCGATGCTGCAGTCTCAGGAAACTGCTCCATGATTAGAATCTTTGCCCCACGGTACTCAAACAAGAACAATAAAAGCGTGTACCAAATAATACACTGCAACACCACCACCTGAACCATAAGACTACCCGAATACGGACCGTACATAGCAATGAGGAGCGGGATACCCATAACAAGGGTGTTAGGAAGTGTCGAAAGAGAGAAAATTGTTATCATCCACTCGAGGCTGCCGTTTCGAGTAAGGTTAGTCCAAAGGGCTAATAGCACAAGCATGATCACTTTTTGTAGAGTGTCGGCTGCTATGAAATGAAGGTTCATCTCCCACGGATTATTAGTAGAGATGAAATGAAAGGAAAGGAGAGGCACAGCAAAGATGGCCACGAAACGGTTGATCCCGGAACATTGGTCCGGGGAGAAGATCTTCCACCACCGGACCGAGCCGTAAGCTAATATCATAGCTACATACAACGGCACCATGGCCGCCAACACAGTATAGAGGTCGTGCCATGAAATCATCTCTAATCAAATTTCAAAGTACGAGCAATGAATAAAGAAGTTTTGTGTCAAGTGATGAACGAAAACCGTTAGGTAACTAACTAGCAAGAGTTGCTAGCTAGCAAAAGGATGAAGATATGTGACTACTAGTTTTAGTAAAGGAGCTAGTGTTAGAAAGAGAGAGATGGAAGTGTGTGAGTTAACTTTACTCTTTCTTTGGTGTTTAGATTATAATAGTTGAATATATAAACTTAGTGCAGTTTATATAACGAGAAAGGATAAGGTGCAGTGGGTGGATAAATGGGGCCCCGAAATATTGTTTTTACAAGTACGGATTACTATGAATTGTAAGTTGTAAACTTTTATTTGAAAGAAAAAAAAAAAAAAAGGTTCATTTAACTCTAAGATTGATTTTACAGCACGGTAAAAAGTTAGGGGCATGGAATTTTTTATTTTTTTTGAGATTTTTCTGTATTCTTAGACACTTGTTTTCGTGCTAATGAAGTTTAGAAATGGCTTAGAGTTGAGGTTTTTCGGTTTTCAAGCGATACGTATGTGTTTTCTAAATAAACTCGAGCTGTTTTTGTGCTATATAGGTAAAAAGGAGGAAAAGGGTAAACTAGAAGTAGTGGCATAATAGAAGAATTTGTAGATTCGGAGTTGGCAGAGTGTTATGCACTTGATTGGATTTTAGTATATTGCCTTGATCTCTTTGACTTGATTATAAGGTGGAGGACAATTTAACCTCTATAATATGCTTTTTGTTTTTGGATATTTTGGTAGGTTGCATTAGAGGAATATAAACTATCAAAATTATACGATATCATTGATCATAATATCAAGCAATCAAGCTAGGCTTGACGTAGTGGAGATTTTTGCTCCTTACAACAATAAAGTTGTGGGATCAAATTCTGCTAAGGGTTCTTGGGATGAGGATTTATTTATCCTTCCCCCCACATCTAATAGGCCTATTCTACTAGCTCACACTGGGTTAAACAATGCGAGGTTTCAACTCACTTAGTGCGAGGTTTTACCTGAAAAAAAATAAATTATAATTGAGTTATTTTACAATCTTGATAATGAAAAAATAGTGAAAAATAGTTGGGATGACTACAAAAGTTTTTCAACCACTATAATATTTTGTACTATATAAAGTGAGAACATCCAATTCAACTAAAAACTATATTTTCAAATAAAAAGTATATATTATTCCAAAATACGATAATTAATTATTTCTTTCATTCACTTTAGGTTGCAACATTTTGACCGTCGTGCATGCCAATGCATAATTAAAGTATATATATATATATATATATATATATATATATATATATATATATATATATATTGAGACGAATCAAACAAAATTTCATGTGACTATATTTTGTTGAACATATGATTCATTATCAAAGGTGGTCGAATGAAAATATGTTTATTATGCCAAATTTCAAATAATGCAACTAAAAGTTAATGGAATAAGTATTATATTAATACTCCATTCGATCCTTTTTGTTTGTCTTAATCTTCAATTTGAAATTGAAATTTTTTAAATATGAAGTAACGTTGATAAATACAAGAAAAAACATTTTCATTTGAAATTTTGTTAGATTTGTACGATATGTAGCTTCAAATTATAGATTATAGTTTTCTACTCCCTCTATTTGTTTTTATTGTTAAATTTTGACTTTTGTTGCCAACTTTTACAAAATATAAGGACGCACTATTATGAAGGTCAAATTCATATTATGTAGGATGTTGTTGGATTTATCGTAAAATGAATTTTAAAGATATCAAATTTTTATAATTATATATCTAATCATCAATCAATCAATAACATAATACTAAAACAAACACCAGGAATGACACGTGTCACTTCTTGGTACTGTTTTTTCCCTCCAAAACTCCCCCCTCCCTTTTTAGGAAAAATCTTTTATTTTTGGAATATTTGTATAATACAACTATAATAAGTATATTATTCCTAATCTTGTATATTATCTTTATAATAATTGTATTCCTTTTTATTTCTTGTTCTACTTATTTAAAATAGTTACATAAGATTTTGAGACCTTTTAATTAAGGGAGAATAAGCTATAATTTAGAAGGTTGAAATATAGCGGAGAGTACGAAATTCCGAAGCCAAAAATACAATATTAACATTTAAATTACCATTATATAATTGTACAATAGTGTGGTTCAATGAAAAAAAAAAAAAAAAAGAAAAGACATTTCTATTTATGGTGTTGATTTGAAATCTTATGAAATAATAATAATAATAATAATAATAGTAGTAGTAATAATAATAATAATAATAATAGAGTTATTTTTCTGTTAAATATTTTTTTGAACGTATGTCAAGCTATCATTAAAAAAAATTTCTCGCCAATGCAATATATGATGTCAGCTTTAATTTTTTTTTTTTTTTTTAAATAATTATTCTACTTATTTTTTGGAAGAACATTGTATAGGTTTTTTTTTTTTTTTTTGTGAACTAAACTAATTTATTAATAAAAACTCATACGACATCAACATTGATAGTTTTATTGGGAATAACATGCATTATTAATGTATTATAATGTATGCTATTTTTAAATATTTTCAACACAACTAATCAAAAATAATTTTTTTTTCTCAATTGTAGTTTAAAAAAAAAAATTCTTATTATTTCATCTTTCTTATATGCATTGCATTTGTTTATTCCACATGAGTTGCCTCATTTTGATATTATATCACAAATTAATTATGGGAAAAAGAATTATTACTACCGTGCATCGTACGGGCACTAATCTAATTGAACATATTCGTGACTGTGATCGCAAATGTGCATGAACACGTAGAGGTCAAAAAATAACAACTAAAAGGACTAGAGGAAATAAGTCAAATAACCTTTTACAACGCATAATTGAAGATATAAATGTTTAGATTTGTACATTAAGAATGTACAAATAGGTAAATGACAAACAAAAGGTAGTTTTTTTCACTCCAAAAAATAAACCTTAATAAACATTAACATTTATAATTGATCTTTCTAATTTTCAGAAAAAAATCCTCATGTGTTTTTCATTTTTCCTTCTTTTTGTTGAAATTTCATGACTTTCATATCATCTAGGACTACTACTATCAAAGAAGATTGCATGAGTTATCAGATCAGATTTTTGATCTTGTACCTTTATTTAATTCAGTTTCTCTTGAACCTTGATCATAGCCATGTCTGCAAATTTAGAATGTGTGTTCCAAATTTTGCAATTCTTCTGAAAGTTGTTACAGCAACACCGGCCTGTTTATTCGACAATGTCATGTAGAATGGTAGAAAGAGGAGGCTGATGTTAATTTTTTTGATGGTTTTTTTTTAGTTGAAGAAATTTTATTTTTGTAATATTAAGATTTTAAAAAGAGGCTTTTTTTTTTTTTTTGCCATTTTTATTATTTTTAAATTTAGAGGTTAAATTATTAATCATTGGATAAAATTACTCCTTACAAATGAAAGGATTTAAGCGCTACATTTTGTATGTAATTACTTGTTAAAAAATCTTCTGAAAATAGTTATTAGAGATTTCATGATCATTTGATGACACAAAATGAATCCAACAAATCAAGGTATATGGCTATGATCTAAGTTCAAGAGAAACTGAATTAAATCAAGATACATAATTAGATACATGTATTTATCATTCATCAAGAAGATAAAGTACATCTCAATATTGAAACACACATTTACTTAAATTAAAAGAGTTCAAAATAAGCTTTATAGTAAGATTTATTTATCATGTTTTTATTAGATTAACTTTAAACGCCATTATAGAATCACCAAAATATGGGATACCTGCTACAAGTATGTAACATGTGACATCTTGTTTCGAAAGAAGAAACTTATTCATGATTCTAACACTTTATCAGCTTTTTTTTTGTTCTATTAACTTTCTACGGAGTATTATTCTCTCTATTCATCTACTCATACGTTTTACTCCCTTTTACCTTTATTTTTTGATGAAACTTATTTCTCACTTTTGCCTCCCTAAATACTTCCTCTATTTTCATTTATTTACAACACTTCTCATTTCATTCTTGTCAACTACCTTTAATTAGCAGACATAAAATTTTGATATTATGAATATAATAAAGTATATAAACAGTATAAAAGTCAAAATATAGTAGTCCCTTCGTATTTAAATAAATGAAACATTTCCTTTTCCGGCCGTGTTTAAATAAATGAAACGTTTCCTTTTTTAGTAACTTCTCTCTATTTTTTTTAATAACATTCTACTAATTAATGGTCCCCACAAAACCTCTTACTCTCTTCTCTTTCATCAACTTATACCCCACTGCCTAATATTTTTATAAATTCAATTAGCCTTTCTAAAACTCTGTAAAAGTCAAAACGTTTCAATTTTTTTAAACACGGAGGAAGAAAGTAATAAAAGACGGAGGAAATACAAAACATGAAAAGTTTATACAAAAAGGGAAAAAAAAAATGATAGCTATTTTTTCAACTATAATAGTCCAACAACTCTAACTTTGCAGACTTAAACAAATAAAAGCTCAACCCAATTTACACAGGGTTGGTGCCCACATGCAAGGCCCATTACTTCCCTCTTCTCAATTATGTGTTCTGCAATATTCCGTACAAAACACTAAGTAAATACTAATTAAATTAATCAAGGTATACTGGCCATCCTAAAATGATGTTACAGAGTACTATTATGACTTTATAAAAACGTATCTTTGATTTGTGTTAATAAAAATTTGATATTATACACTGCACATTGAGATGAATCTAATATATTGTATGCGAGTATTTTTTTTATATGTTAATGAGATGTTTTTGGTTAAATTTTATAAAGTATGAACATGAAAAGTCAAAGCAGGATTATTATTTTGGAACAGAAAGGAATATAACATTATTCCCGTCGCATGTAATGTCATCCTCCATATTTGGTTACAGTAGCTTAATCAACATTAGTGCAAACCTTATTTACGCTATCTTCGTTATAATGTAGGTTCAAAAAGAAAACTTGGCATAGTTGGCAAAAGCTAGAAACCACAGGGCACTGCATACCAGAGAAAACAAGTCTTAGATTAGGGATGAGACGCCCGCTCGCTCAAGGTATGTTAAATTGTTAGGTCTAACTAATAATGGCATAGTATACATTTACCTTATTATTATGACTTCCAAAAGTTTATTGTATCATTTTATGTGCCTTAAATCATGCTCAATCATCATATGTACTACGTGCTAGGAGCATCTGTACCTAAAATAAAGCTCAATTGTATGTGCTACTTGCTAGGAGCAGCTATAAATATATGCGCCAAAGTCTATTCTTAGAACCCAGCACATTTTTTACAAAAAGGTCAAGATTTGAGCCCAAGTAATACAAGAATGGCAACTTCAACTTCTAGCAAGCTCTATTTGATGATTTACTTAGCTATCGTCTTATTGGCTTTGGCTACGAGCATTTCAGAGGCCCGTCACCTTCACTCACGAGGTCCAAACGTCGTAAAAAAGATCATTGTTGGCGGTTGGGGCCGTGGGTATGCTGGCGCTGACTGCTGTTGTTAATTCCAGTGGTTATTTAGGACCTCAATTGTAAGACCAGATGTATCTGCGCTCAACTGTGTGTGTCTACATTGCTAGTTGTATGGTATTGTGCTGAATATAACGGTGTATCAATCTGTGATAATCTTGTTAACTGTCATATAATGAATAAAATTAGAGTATTGTCAAGGTATTATTGTTTCTTGGATACTTTCTGTTACAAAAGAAAAAAGAATAGCTAAAGGATAAACGTACATATGTAGGCATAAAGCAATATAATTAACTTAAGACAAACTGCTGCTAAGCAACTATATTGAGTCGGACTCGCTGATTAGATAACGAAACACTACCACTGGAATGCTAAGCAACTAATCGACTGACGCATGGTACGGAGGATGTAGGGTGTTAGCCGTATTAGCCCCGGTGGGCATCAGAGTCATAGCTAAATCTAGGCTCTTGATGTCGGTAACACCTCTAACCGATATCCATCATGACTTTGATTCTACTATGTACTTTCCTGATCAATGGCATTATTGGAAATGCTACAATTCTCGAAAGTCTAATTTATATTCCCTAGCATGCAGAATGCTCATACCGGAAAGTTGACTTCTGGGTCTGGAACCTGGGTTGTTCCGAGAAATCCTTTCTTTCTCGTCCACTTAGGGGGGTGCGGACACACCTGTGCGGATTACAGGTGACGGTTACAAGAATGGCGGGGAAGATGCTCATTAATATGTGCTATTTGCCAAGCGTATATCCTGTATATGTATGTACCAAAGTCTCTTCTTTGAACATAAGAACCCAACACATTTCAGGCAGTTGATTATAAATCTAAAAACACAGTACATGACAAGGGTTATGTGACATCTAGTTGGCCATCGCCGTCTTGACAAGACTTTCTGAGGCCAGTCGTCACCATCTACCACACGTCGCATAGAATTTTCGCTTGGTACCTTCGCCTTCACCAGTGACCCCAAATGGAGTGTACCAGTAGGGGTTATGTAAATATTCTGTGTTTTTGCGTTTATGTTGCTAGTCACGTCATGTTGTGTTGATTATTGCCGATCATCTATCTCGTACTTGGAGCATTTGTTAATGTTTCAATAAATAAGTGCATAAGTATAATGTTTCATGGGTACTTTTGAGTTCACAAGCTTCTCTTAGCCTTCCCCTGCAACTAAACCTAGAAAAGCAGGAAAACAGAGTGAACGTTTTAGGCTGAGCGTTTTATTTTCAATAGAGAGCTCACCTTTTTCTTTTTTTTTTTTTGGTGTGAAAATCAAACTTCAACTCACTTTTCCAATGCTACGACAATCTATGTAAAGAAAAAACTATGTACATAAGCAGATCAGTCGAAATACAATAACAAAGATTAGAAACTTATTTGTTACAAAATGGGAAGTTAACGTAAAAGGGTTATGAAGAAGACACTTCAGCTCCATCATTTAGAGCACAGCAAACAACAGCTTTGTGATGCCCTTGATATGTTTGGATGACTTCACCACTTGACATTGACCAAAGCTTTGCACTTCCATCCGAGGAAGCTAACAAAACCAACAATGCAGTTTAGTATCCAGGCACAGAAAATATAAACAGTGGAAAACATACACGTTTACATTTGAAGAGGGCATGTTTATACTTTTAACTCTAAAATTGAGTGTTATCATTCACTCCTATTATAAAATCACAATTCTATTTAAGGTTTCCATGATAATGAGACAACTTCAAATCTAACAAAAACTTGAACATCCCAGTATCATAATCATTTCAAATTCAAAATTTATGTCTCGTAGAAGGAAATTTCTTATGGCATGTTTGGTTGGTGAATAAACGGTGGTGATGGTATTTAATTTATAGGTAAACATGTAAGGAAAGTTCATACCACCTTTTCAAACAAAAAAATTCATTATCGCCTATCAACAGGCAAGTATTGAAAATCATATGGGGTAGCCAAGCAACGCCATGAGACTCTAATTACAAAGTTGCAATAAAAATCAATAAGTATTATCACAATTAATCATTGACTACCATACCAGCCGTTAACAACACCTTACATCAAAGGATTTCAAAAGAAGCTACGTTTATACGAGTAATTGTTAAGGGAAAGATATACCCTACTTTGGTATGGTACACATGTAACGCCTGTAATCGGTAAGGAAAATTATGGCAAACTAGCTCAATTCTTTAAACTAGCTCAATTCTTTAGAAAAGAACCCCCACCCAACCATGTTAGCCTATTAGTCTTTAGAGGAAAAGGAATATTAGTCTGCCCAATCATGTCCAGCACTAATCAATCCTCATTGACCTCTTTTTTGGCAAAATCATCTCTCTTACAGATAAAGATTGTAGTAGTTTAAAGATCAAAGCATAAAACTTAGGGCATAGTAGGTTAGAATCCTGGCAATAACTGGGAAATAGTTGCGAAAAACAATACCCTCATTCACATGAAGGCCATAAGCTAGCCACTCAAAATGTGTACTGTGAGGCAGGACTTCTCTATGCAGCATGCCCCTCAATAATCCAGATAAAACAAACTATTTATTTTTCCATGGATATGACAACTAACCTGTTATTAGGTAGGCACCATCTACAGAAAAAACACAGTCCCACACCCACCGTTCATGCCCTGGAAAAAATCAAGCACAACCATTGGTTTATAATTAATGGGCAAGACTGAGCACCCTATAAGATCAAATATGTACATTAAAAGAGATAATTACCAGATAAAGTTTTCTCCAAGGTGAAACGGTTGTCAACATTCCATATCTTGACCGTATGATCAGATGATGTAGTTGCCAAGTATCTGTAGAACAGAATTTACTCAGCATAATAAAAAGAATTATGTTCGATAGTTGATCCACTTTGAAACTATTCACATGCTCTACTTTAACCTAATTATTATAAAAACAAAACTTATGCTATAAAATATTAATGAAATTTTCTTTTCTACTAAAGTGTATTTTTCGATTATTAACATCTATCTTATAAGTTTTATTAAAAGACAATTAAAGATATTAATGATCAAATAATGGGATAAAAGTTAGTGAATTTCGGGCTTACAATGGACCACAAAGGGGGAAAAAAACTATGGATTAATACAGATAGGCCAGAGAACATAAACAGGAAGATAAGGAACACCAGCAGGTGCGACATTCCTTTTCCTTCCCCCATTTCTGTTGGGCCACACGTACCACAAATCCACTTTAGTATGATTGTCCGCTTTGGCCAAGCCTACACGGATTTGTTTTTGAGCTCATTCCCAAAAGGCCTCATACCAAGGACCATAAACTCATGGAAGTTCTATCTTCCGTATTTTTCCCATGTGGAACTTGAGATGAACAACTCCAACAATCCTCCCCTCAGACCAAGGACCACAAACTCATGCCCTCTCCTCCAGCAATAACTTTGGTCAGTCAAACCACCCATCAGCACCGCCGTAAACACCACGGAACATGCCACTAACCGCAACATCAGGAGGACTTTTGACACAAGGGCGCCACATAAGGACTTTTGATATCGCCGTACCACCACGGAACCCACTGCCTGACCACCTATAAGGACTTTCGATATAGACATACGAGATCACACACATGAGAGAGCCTTCCATACACCGAAACTATAGCCAACTTGCCCAAGATCGCTTCACAACCATGGCTCGGATACCACTTTGTCCGGGAAAGATGCACACACAATACAGAATTACAAGCGAAAGCACAACTATCTCATTTTCTTTAATGTGTTGTAGAATGGGAAAATACTACCAATCTTGAGCAAACACAATATGGACAACAAGCAGCTCTAAATAGCTCAAATGCAGCAAAATAAAACACACCAAGATATACGTGGAAACCCAATACGGGAAAAAAACCACGGGTACCGTGAGCCGGCTTCAAGCCCTTCCAATAACCAATAATAATTAATGGGTACGCTAAACTATCTTTCTCTAAACAATGCTAGAGAATCTACAACATCAAACAACATGCTTGGAATAAATCATTCTCCATATACATCACTAACGAGCGGATAAAAAACTATGGAGAGATTAGGGCTAAATAGTGATTAACCGGACCCCAAAACGATAATCCAACCATTGAATATGTAAGCATAGGATGGCAGGCTTCTATGCAGGTCTCGATCAGATGGAAAAATCGGACAACTTTTATGGAAAACTCTATTTCCCCTTCTCTGCTCTCCCTCTGTTTTATGCGTGGGTTTTGGTTGTTGTATAATCTGATTTACAACAACTTCTACTCTATTTAAACTCACTTTGACTTGTTTACTCATATTTCATTATATGGGCCCCAAGACAAAGACCTATATAGTAAAAAACATGTGTATGAGCCTAATAAAATGGACTCCATCGTCCAAGTAGAAGGGAATAACCCCAACAGATTGTCGTAGTTGTTTATTCCAAGTCCCACGTGGAAAAAAGAAATAAGGAAGAGAGAACATCCTTATACGGAGCGTACTCCATTAAAATAAGGCCTTTCAGGAAGGAACCTAAAGAAATCTGTGGGTGCTAGGCACAAAGCGGACAATATCATACTAAAGTGGAGTTGTGGTGTGCGTTTAGCCCATCAAGTGGTATAAGAGCCGAGGTTTTATTGTTGTATTTTTGTGTTGTTGAAGAATGGATGAAAAGGGTGTGCACGGAATGATTTACTTGAATTGTAGTAATTATTCCGTATCGAAAACAAAAATGGAAGATATCCTTTATATTAAGGATTTGCATGAACCAATCTTGAATGAGATTAGACCAAGTGGCAAGGATGATGCTTCTTGGAAGTTGCTTGATTGAAAGGTTGTTGGTTTGATTCGACAGTTCAATGATCAAAGTGTTCTTGAGCATGTAGCAAGTGACATTACTACCCACACTTAGTGGAAGAAGCTCAAGTCTATGTATGAGAGGAAGAATACACTAAACAAAGCCTCACACATGAGAAGACTTGTTAAGTTGGAGTGCTCGGATGATCAAAGTGTGATTGAACATCTAAGTGCTTTTCAAGGTTTAATGAATCAATTGTTTGCAATGAAATTGGTGTTAAAAGATAAGTTGTGGGCACTACTCCTTAGTTCATTTCCCGATAGTTAGGAGACACTTATTGTGTCACTTAGTAACTCTGCTTCGAAAGGAAAGCTCAAAATGGAGATTGTGAAGTCAAGCTTGATGAATAAAGAAGCCCGGAGGAAGTAACATAAGTCCTCTTTTAATTATTTAGGAACTTTATAGCTGAAACAAGGTCGTGGAATAACCATGAATAGAAATCATGATGATGAAAATTCTAATTCTAGGGAAAATCAAAGACAAGGGGACAAGTAATTTGTTTTCATTATGACAAGCCAGGCCACAGAAAATCAGATTGTATGAAATAAAAGCGTGACAAAGCCAAATAAAATGTGGAGATAGGAATGAAAGGACAACATTATAAGAATAACGAAGATGATTGAAATACTTCGGCTTTTTCAACTAGTGATAATTTGCATTTTGTTGGTGGTGATACTAACCTTGAGATTTCTCGTGATGACTGTACTCGGTTTATTGACTCAGGATTATCGTGTCATCTCACCTCACACTTTTGAGTTCTTCTCATCATACACTAGCAGTGATTTTGGTTATGTGAAGATGGGCAATGACAAGGTTGTTGACTTAGATACAATCTACTTGGAAACATCCATAGGTTGCAGGTTGTCTCTCCGAAATGTAAGGCATGTTCCATATATCCGTGTTAATTTAATCTTCGCCACAAAGTTTGATGATGATGGTTATGCTATTCACTTTGGTGAAGGTCGATGGAAGCTCACCAAAGGGTCATTGGTCATGGCTCAAGGAAGAAAGAAAGAAAATGATTGTTTCGTGATGCAAGCTAAGCTATGTGAGAAGGGTAATATGCCAAGTTTACCTTCATTGCCACATAAGAAGCTTGATCACATGGGGAAGAAAGTCATATTCCTCCTTGGTGGTAATTCTCTTTCTTCTAGTATTGTTCATAATTGTGTTGATCATAAGAGTTAAGGAGTGAAATTGTGTTGTGGAATGTGTTACTTGTAATCCACCACATGTTCCTCGCTTAACACGAGATGATGGAAGCTATTGGAATGGTAAAAAGGGGCTTTGACGAGAGGAAAATGTGAAAGCCGTGCAAGATGAACTAGTGTCTTGCATGAGACATCTTCTTATTTGTTTGATCCGGTAAAGTTGCTTAAAGACAAGAAAACACCTAAAGGTATGTGGGTGTTAGGTTTGGGAGGCCCGCCTCAAAGAGACATGGCACACTTTAGATTCATGGTGATGAAATAGAATCCAAAATGAGTCGTTGTACATTACCTAAGGACAAGAAGAAGGCTTGCAAGAAAGCGGGTAATGTAGATTACTCTTTAGGGGAAGATTGACATGTTTATTTCATGTTGTTGGGTTTCCTCCCTCAAGTAGGAGTGAGGGGGAGATTTGTTGGGGTTATTCCCTCGTACTTGGAGGATAGAGTCCATTTTACTGGGCTAATACACATGTTTTAACTATATGGGTCTTTTATCTTGGAGCCCATATAATGAAATACTTCTTCCGTTTTTTTTAGTTGCATCAATTTAGTCTTCACGGACTCCTTAGCCATTATTGGAGTAGAGAGAGGTAGAGAGAAAATAAATAGAGCCCATGTGAAAGAAAGTGATGCAACTAATTTGAAACTTCTGTTTTAGGAAAGCGATGCATCTAAAAAGCGGAGGAAGTATGAGTAAACAAGTCAAAGAGGGTTGAAATAGAGTAAAAGTTGTTGGAAATCAAAGTATACAACTATACAACAAGCCAAAACCCACGCACAAAATAGATGGAAAGCAGAGTTAGAGAAGTAGAGTTCTCCATAGAAGTTGTCCGGTTTTTACATCCATTCGAGACTCAAACGGAAGTTGATCGACGTTAAATTTGGACACAATATTTTGTTCCATCCCATGCTATATATCCAACAATTGGATTATCGTTTTGTGCTCTAGTTGTTGGTAATCTCTATTTAGCCTTATTCTCTCCATAGTTAAGTTTGTCCACTTGTTAGTGATGTATATGGAGAATGGTTTGTTCCAAACATGTTGTTTGATGTTGTAGAGCCTCTGATATTGTTTAGAGAAAGATAATTTGGTGTACCCATTAATTATTATTGATTAGTGGAAGGGCATAGTATCGGCTTACAATACCCTTGGTTTTTTTTCCGGATTGGATTTCCACGTATATCTTGGTGTGCTTTATTTTATTGCATTTGGGCTATTTAGAATTAATTGTTGTTGTCCATAATGTGTTTGGTCAAGATTGGTGGTATTCCCATTCTAAAACACATCAGGGAAAACGAGATCATTGTGCTTCCGCTTGTGATTGTGTAGTGAATGCATCTTTCCCAACACTTTCCCCTGTACCATATTTATCATCCACCAGTGATATTACCACCACCATGGGCATGGCCTCGCTATGAAAATTAACAGACCTAAACTCAAATCTTCTCTTCAATTGATGGCTTCAATTCCAAATAGGTCTTTGATAATTAATCCCATAAAGGAAATTTTTGGTGTTGAAAAACAAAAAAAAAAAAAGAAAAAAAAAGGTTATTTGGAATTCTCTTATGAGTAAGGGTCATGTCAAGTTGTCAACAATACATCTCAAAAGCCGGTGAGTCGACTAAAGAGTAATTTGAGCATCATTGGTTATGCTACTTTCCAATAAAGTCCCTTTTTAACACACCTTATCCTTGCATAAGAACCCAAACAAGCACCCAATGTTCATTTAATGAACCAATTGACAGGTTTAATTTCAGTAGAACAATGAAGCATTTTCTACTTCTTATTCTAAATGTTTTGAGCCAAATCCGGTTGAAGTAATATCTCATTGTGATAATAAATAGTAGAGTAGACGTAAGACTTCTAATTTAAAGCAGTCCACCAAAATTCCAAATTGTGCTTATATTAGCCAGTTACAGCACTTTCTAGAGAGTGATGTGTGCAAGTCTGTATGAACTTTTACTAATCATAGAAATTTCCTATGGTTTCCAAAGGTGAGAAAGGTTGGAATAAGAAGGCAATCCAGATTAGCAGCAATATGGTATTTCTTAGTGAATGAAAGTAGTCATAGAGTAAATGCCAATTGCCATTTGTCTTGTGTCCTGAAAAACAAGAATTTTTATTATTTTATTCCTTCTAAATTTTATGTGGTTAAAGTTAGTATATGAATTATGCAAAACTAAAAGTGCTGCAATTATTTGAAATATATTGCTAGAAATTAGAACATTGACATCATTCAACTTAGCTTTTTTTGCCAAACCCATATATACTAGTCACCCCTCAAACATGCTTAAAGTCAATTTCCAAGAGGAGGTTCCATCTCCACTTAGTTATGAAAAGCATTTACTCAAACTCAAACTCCATTAACTGGGACAATTCTAACTTAGAAAATCATTTTCTTTCTCTACCTTCCTTTTGCTCTTTGTCAAAAACATAATAAACCTTTAAGCCAATAGTACTTCTATACCTCCACATTCCTTGTCACATTAACACTCACCACAACCATCTCTTTCATATCATAATTGCCTCTTAGGATCATAACTTCTCCCTTTCAGATCTCAGCCTTTCTTCCCTGCGAGATTTTTACATGATGTTCTTGTTCGCATGCAGCTCTTTACAGGCCTTGAAAAAACCAGCACTATGAAGTTCCACTGAAGTACTGTGGTTATCCTAAGGGCTATAGGTCTCCAATATCCTATGGTCCTAATCCATTCATGCAGCTTCCCCCCCCCCCCCACTTAATAATCTTTTATTATATATCTCTGCGCCCTTTAGAATTTTGTTACCCTTTTCGGGACCTTTTTTTTTCAGATGTTAGTTAAAACCCTTGTTGCTTCTACGAACTCCTCCTAGGCCTTGTTTCCTCCTCCTCTATAGTAGCATTGTAGCTACGGGCCAAACTGTGCTTCCTTACCCTCTTCATTGCAGAGGTAAGCAAGCCTTCTCAAAACGCATTATGACCAATAAGCAAAATAAAAAATTAAAAATTAAAAAACAAAAATTAAAAACTTTAAGCATTCTAACCAATTTATGTACTATTGTTGTCATTGTTCTTAGTATATTAAGTAATTTGAAGTCTCTTTTAAATGTCCAAAATAAAACAAATTCTAAAAGAACAATGCCCCAATAACATAAAATTCATCTAAATGATAGATCCTTTGCACCCAAATTGCAATAGGCATGTTATCCTCTTAACTTTATTACCAAAGAGCAAATCTTACATCTGAAGCTAAAATAAGTAGAAAAGTGTTCCACTTGATTTTACTGGTTATTTTATGCGTAACCATCAATTGCATGGATGTAAAAGGAGTTCTAGCTGAAATACCATAAAGCCTCCTCCAGTAAAATCTTGTCTAGCTTACAAAAGGACTTAAAATCAATTAGTTTATCTTCCCTTTTAGAATATCGTATTCTTGGACAGGTACTGTAGTTACTAGCTTCATGGCCTCCACAACAACTGTATCATCTTTCACAAGTATTAACAGCTGAATGAGAGCTTTTTACCCTTGGGTTCGGTCCTTCGGGTGTTTGATCAACATACTCATCCTCGTGAAAAAATTTAAACATTCACCACCTTTCTGTTGATTTCATTAGCAATGGTAAATTTTTATCATCGTAACCTTCATCTACGGATAGAGAAGACAATGCAGCCCAAGTTTGACTAGAACTCCACCAGATATGTAGAAAAATACATACGAGCAAGTCCAAAACCCAAAAAAGTATATTTCTAACTTAAGGCAACACAAAGACCAACCATAATTTGACAACCTTTAAGTGTATGATCACATAGAAGATAAGAGTGAAATTCTGCATAGTATATATATTATTTTCCATAAGACACCAAAACTTAACACCCCCCACCTCTTTCTCTCATTTATCCTCTCTCTCTTCTTGAACATACTCTCGTGACCTTGTTTCTGGTTCAAGGGGCATATAAAGATCGCAAAATAGAATTCTTAGAAGAAGTAATTAAGATCATTAAGATATGATTGAACATAGAAATCTGAATACAATCTACAAGATATCGAGAGGCTTGTTCTCTCCAAAAGCATAGACAAAAGCTGAAATAAACTCTCAATAATATTCATCATAGTTGCTCTCAAATCTCCTCCATTTACTGACAATCTGATTCTTTCTTCTGTCTCTCCTCTACCAAACTTCCTTGCTTTCCTCCTCAAGCTCCGGCATACTCATTATAAAGCAATTTCCCACCAAAGGATTTCCTTTGGCAAGTTCCTTTAACAAGAGTCACAGACCAACATAGATAAGAGAATGAGTACTCAATAAAATCCCATGAACCATGTGCACCATGGCGTAACTAGGCCATATTTTTGCCTCATAAGAAACCTCTTTCTCCTTAACATCGCCATCCGAAAACATTTCTGCCTCCTCTTTTACTCCACTTCCCACACAACTTTCTTCAATACAAGTCAAGTCTTTGTTCTTTTTACTCTCTACATCTCCCTTGCTCCCCAAATTGTTTTTTTCAAGGATATCAAACACCACAACAGTTTTTTAGGTAAAATTTTGGATTCCTTTGAAAGATTAATGCTATACCTAGGACTGTGCACCAGTCCAGAACTGGACCGGACCAGATCAGAATTGGAATGGACTGGGACCAGGACCGGAACTAAGGAATTCCTTGGACTGGGGACAGGGACCTGATTATTCCAGTTAGGTTTTAGACATGTTTGGTTTAGTGAATTATCCATTAAAATAAACAGCTTATCTAGAATCAACTTTGAGGATCTCTTGGTGAATAAAAACCAACTTGGAAGGATCTTACCAAGTAACAGCATCAAAATTTTAATTAAAACCAAGTTAGCTGCAGATGAGTTCATTCCTACTCCTTTGAATTCTATCCCTAAACTACAGCCATCAAGGATATCATCTATTCACATGTATTGTTAAACATTATCAAAAACATAAAGCAAAAAACTTATCATACAAAGGGTAGCCCTACAAGCCAATACATGCCCTTTACCACACACCAATGCTGACACATATAGTTTATATGTACATTTGTTTGCAGTAAATTAAGCAACAACACTCAAGATGGGACACCTTAAGAATGTGTATTAAAAAAACATGAACTACTCAGAGGGCACAAACCTATTGGGTTCACAGTATTCAGGCGAAAGAAGGCACTTAAGGATGTATCCTTTGTGCGCTTGAAGCCTGTGAAGTGGCTCAAAATTTGTCATTGTCTGCAATAGAAGAAATTCCAAGTTAGAGACAATTGAAGTATCATAGTGATTCTTCTTCAAAAAAAAAAAAAAAAGAAGTTACATAGTTTTTTATCAAATGATTCAATCATCTACCTGTGTCCCACTCAACAAACGCCAAACAAAGCAGGTTCCATTATTATTTGCAGCGACTACCAAGGTTCCATCAAACATCACTGTCAGAGACCTTACAGCTGTATCAACTTCTGGTACCTGGAAGTTCAGATTTTCAGTTCAGTTGCATCTTTTAAATTCCTTAATCACCCATTCTGGTATTTAGAAGCAAATGCCAACTAAGTGTTAACTACAAAGTTCATCCATACCAAGATATGTATGCGTTGGAGCCAGTTAAAAAAAATGCTTTCCTAACCCTGACACACTCATACTTGTAGAGGCATACACAATAACATAATGATAGAATGGAGATGGAAGCCTCGGCAAATCAAATTTTGCACAACCTTCAAACGTCATGAAGAACGGTAAAGAGATAAATTTCAAAAATTAAATGAAGTTTTCTTTTCTCTTGTTGGAGCAAACAATTTCTTTACTCATTCTTATCCAATTCAAGTTACTCAAACCAACTTCTTTGCCCTAGCTTCATAATAGTCGCAGAAATAAAAATAGGCGGTGTTCTGTTCAGCATATGGCATCAGGTATGGGGTTTGGTTTTAATTCATAATTCCATATAGTACTTTTTATTTAAATAAAAAAAAACTGAAAAAAAAAAACCCTCAATTTCCCTCTCCTCTCCCCTCCCCTCCCCTCCCCTCTTCCCACTCTTACTTCTGCTTCCTTCTCATATGACATTAGCCACCTTCTCCACCCTTTGTTAAAATCAAACCTCTACCCTCCTCTTCCTCTTCTGATCTTTATACTCTCCTCTAAATTCTCCTCTTTGATAATCATATAGTGTATGAAAAAATCGACTTTTGGTGGTCGACTTCTCTCACCAAAATTCTCATACTCCCTCCGAGTTTTAATAAGTATTACACTTTGACCGGCACATAATTTTAGGCAATTTAATTGATTTAAATAAAATAAGAGGTAAGTAGGGTAGTTGGAGTATTAAAAAATTGTAAAAGAAAGATAGTGGGGTTAATAGTTTATTGAAAATTAATGATTGTGAGAGGAAATAAATAATAAAAAAAAATAATGGTGGGTTTGAGTAGGGACCATGACATAATATTAAAATGTAGCTTTTTGACAAAAAAAGGAAGTGTAACACAAAACACAGCCGTATTTGGTAAGTGTAACACTTATTAAAACACAGATGGAGTAATAAAAAAAAATTGACGACGGTGATTAAGTGAATGTAGCTAGGACCATTTCTCCTTCTTTGTATGGAAATATCTAGGACCTATTTTGGACAACTATAAATAGAGAAACCTTAGAGGGGTTAGGTAATTTAATCTACAACAAGCATTTTGAGTGTACCTTTATGAGACAAAGAAAGCCACTAGTAAAAAAAAAAAAAAAAAAAAAGGCTTGAGAAAATTGTAAGTGAGTGTTCTACTGTTCCACAATTGTATTGTTAGAGAAATTGTATTCCATTTTGGGGTGAAGTCTTCTTGTAAGAACTACTAGTCCCGTGATGTTTCCCCATTTTGGGTTTTCCACGTTCCCAAATATTTCTTGCGTTCTCTATTTTGATTATTCTTGTTTTATTTCCATCTTAGATTACACAAAGAGGGAAGATACAGTTTTTCAGCTTAGGAGCAAATATCCCAAAATTCATTTCCTCTAATAAGGATACATCACCCAAAAAAATTTAAACTTTATAGTTAATCAACGACTACTATTTGGTTTGTAGTCGTAATCCTTTATAACACGTCAAGGTAAAAAGTTTGAACTGTTGGAGAAGCTTTTCAAGCTTAGACAAAACACTTTGCCATTGGACCTTTGAACCCATTGGACATGGAAAGCGAAAACCAGAAAGATAAACATATATGTTTGTAATGGCTAGACAAACAAAGTAAAAGTTCAATGATATACTTCGCTTTTGAATTAACAACCTCAATAACAGATGAGCAGATCACGAAATTGGCACTAGGGTTGCAAAGAAGCGGGCAAAGGTTTATATTGGCACTTAGAATGGCTGATACATCTATATTTGACAGGTGAGGAAATGAGAAATCCCCTAATGCCAGAAGGGTGTGAAGAGAGAGTGAAAATCAGAGGAATAGTGGTAGACTGGTTACATCAACTACAGATTTTAGCACATCCTTCTGTAGGTGGATTCATGAATCACTGTTGGTAAAACTCATGCATGGAGAACATCAACATGGAAGTGCCAATGGTAGCATTGCCTATGCCTTCTAATTAACCAAGAAATGCAGAGGTGCTAAGAGTTGGTATGCTGGACTGCTGGTGAGGGATTGAACACGCTAAGCTAGCGTAGTGATGGCGACTACTATTGAGAATGTATTGAGGAGATTGATGGCATCAGAAAGAGATGAAATACAGAAAAGGGCTACGGTCTAGAGAACTGGGTGTTTGATCCTTTTGCTAATGGTGGTGTACTGGTGTGTCTCGCTTAGAAGTGAATTCTTTAATCATTCATATCACAGATGATGGTCTACATCAGCAGTGAATACTTCCACCTGTAGGATTCTCACTTGAAGAGGTTCTTTTTCACTGCAGATTTCTGTTTTTAGTGTTGCTAATGTTTCGTTTATTCTTCACCGGCTATGTCGTATACAAGTACAGGTGTTGCATAAATTCTATAACAGGCTATGTACATAGTATGAGCTGTATGTTCTTTTAAAGTTTTAAAAGTTATGGCCAATGAAGAGATACTCCTAGCATTTACAGGATTTACGTTTGTAAAGCTCCAGATAATGCTAACCATTGTTATGACAAAGCAAGCACATAATAGATACAATGTATCACTGATATGAAAAATACAGCAAAATGTATCACTAAGAGAACTGGAACAGCACACCTTCAGAACATACAATGGGATGACAAGATGAAAAGAAACAGATGTCTTTTTTTCTCTAAAGCTAAAAAGAAATGGCAGTCACATTAATGATTCTCATTTATATAGAACATAAATGATCCTTGCACAAAGGTACCATATCTCACAAATATCAATCAATCAATCAAAGCCTTAATCCCATAAGAGGGGTTGGCTACATGAATGTCATCAATCAATCAAACCATATCTCACAAATATCCTTGACACAAATGTTAAGTGAAATTTTCAACCTAAACCATGTTTACCATCCTGAATATTTCCATCTTGATTACACAAAGAGGGAAAATACAATTTTTCCCAACGGGAGGAAGGACGAAAATAGTGGAAGAAGACATAGGAGAAGAAAGGATGTCATCAGCAGGATGAAGACTGGAGTGGTGGATTAGTGTTATGGTTTGGTGATGACAAAGGAATTTTGTTTTAATAAAAGTTGATTCAGGGATGGGGGTTAGGATTAAACCCACCTCCCCCCCCCCCAAGGGTATGAGAACCCGAGAACTTCAAATCTTGTAGGTTGAGCTACACAGGTTTCATTTTTTTGCAAAAATTTCCAATTAACACTAAGTATGGGTTTGATTCCAAACTCATACCTAATACCAAAAATCTGTGAGCCAAAAGCCCTTATAATATTCATATATCACCTATCCTATATGTCCTTGGATGACTCTTAGAAACTTACCACCTTTCTCTATCCTTAGATGACTCTTATAACCCTCTTAGAAACCTACCATCTTTCTCTATCCTTAGACGACTCTTATAACCCATACGGTTCAAACCAACAGCATACGTCACAATGTGCCTATAACATTTAAGGTTAGGTCAGATAAAGTCATAGAATCTGCCAAATATCAAAACAAGACAGCAATCAAATTAGTGCCTCACAAACTATTTTTGTTGTGCTATTTTTTTTTTTCTCTCCTTCAATAATTTTTTTTTATTCCCTCCATATTTTATTACTTGCTCCATTTCTCCGGACACGGAGTTTTAGGATAAATAGTATAAAGTATTATTTTATGATGGAAGCGGGATTGGTTGAAGAATAAAAAATATCTGAAAAAGCAAAAATGAGTATACGTGGGAAGGAAAATTGTAAAATATTATTAAAAGTTTCCAAAAAAAAAAAGGGAAATGGAGAAAGTAATAAAATACGGCCGCAAAAGGAAAATGGAGCAAGTAATAAAATACGGAGGGAGTATCAAAAATGACATAAGGTAATTCAAACATGTTCCTCTAGACTGTAGCCAACCAAAACATATGGGGTAAGTTAGGGTTCCAATTCTCTCCCATTATGTTCTTCTTCATTCCTTTGCCTTCTTCTTCTTCTGCTTGAACGCCTTAATCCCATTAGTGGGGTCGGGTACATGAATTAATATGAGGACTTTCCAAGAGGTCACCCATCCTAGTACTACATTCCTTTGCCTTCCCTTTGGAAAAAATCGATGGCCCTAAAAGCTAGAAATAACTACTGTATTAAAGAGATTGATACAATATGATTTCATCTCATATGTTACTAAAATATACATAAAAGGCCAGCTGGTTTGGAATTTAAAAAACAAAACGCATGCCGAGGTCAAAACAGAAGGTAAACATAATGAGCAAAACCATGTAGAATAGAATTGCTCCAGAATTTAAGAAGAAAGATTCACCAAGGAAAATACTCCAGGATTGCAAGGAAAAAGAACAAAAGTTCACTAAGTGTTCAACTCAGAAAGATAAATCCAAAACTTTGGGTATAAACTATAGTATAAGAATTATTCCAAACAAAACCTTCTTTCAATAACCATGCATAAGCACTTAATTAAGAATTATATTGGTGTAGCAGTTAGCAACACTAAATACCTACCAATTCACAGCTGCATGAATTTGCTGTCAAATCCCAAACCCGGATATTGCCATTCTGGTCTCCTGATATCAGTTCAGTCTGCAAAATCACCATGAAGACAACATTGAATCTGGAACCAACCAGCCAACAATTACGAAGAAGTAACATTTTTTTGAAAATACTAAGTATAAGAATTTTTTAAAAAAAAATACTGAGCTATTAAGTGAAATTTGGTGATCCATTAAGATGTGGCCATGTCCTGACAATTGGCAAATGCTATTTGTAACTTAACAAGATCCAATTGAGCAGGCAAACAACATTTAGTATGGTGGAGCCAAAAGAAAATTTAGTTCACCACTTAATAAAAGAACTTAATGTACAGCGAACAAGAATATTTAATATCTTAGCTCATTTTCCATAGTTAATAAGTTTTAAGCAAAGGTGTTAAGAGAGTCCACCATATGGTATTATGGTCTAAAATCCATACCAGTCATTCTCCATCGCCCAACATTGGATCAATTACCCAAAACTACAGATAAATCAAGCATAAAAGAGTTGAGAATAATAGCCTAAAATTAACCTGATTTGGGTGCAGGACAACAGTGTTCACAGCAGCGCGACTTTCATATTCCCTTTGACAGCCTGGAGCTCTGAAATCAAAACTCAATGTCTTTACTTTATGAACTTCATTCTAACTAATCACAGAAATAAGTATTCATGTTGTTACCTGAGGTCCCATATCTTCACTGTACCATCCTCGGAACCAGAATACATCCAATTTCCATTAGATGGAAACCCAACTGCCATAACATTATTCGTATGAGAATCATAACTCATCACCTGCCATTTTGATTACAAAGACATAATCCTACAACATCAATTTGAAGCAACTAACACAACCTCCCCCCTCTGGCCCTCCAACCCCCCCCCCCAAACCCCCCACCACCCCCCCCCCCACACACACGCGCGCACTCTAAGTTACCTGGACTCTTCATTTTACCTCAAGTAGCTGTGTTAGAACCTCAACACTCCTACATGGGTACAGAACCTCCCACAATTCATTTTGCAACAAATAAATGAAAATTTTTCATAAACAAGCCCAGTCTAAAACTTGGACACATACCCTTGTCAAATATGGGTTCTAAAGTCCAGGTAACATAGAACACCCACACATAAACCCAATCACAATAGCATTAAACCTTCTGATCAAAGTATATTACCGGTTGAGGGTTGCTCGAATTAATATCGAACAATCGAATGTGAGGATTCCCAGCCGCAGCTAAATATCGCTTATCTGGGGTTATTTCAAGCCTATTAACTTGCTGTAAAACAAACAAAAGATTACATCTTTACACCATAATTCATCCCATCATAAATTCAATATACACATATTCACCAAAATACAAATTATTCACACCAAATCACAAATATTGAAAATAATACAACGTAAATCAACGATTAATTCCAGAAATTTCTCAACTACATTAGATTTTAAATTAATTAAAAAATTAAAAAATTAAAAAAAAAAAAAAAAAAAAAAAGACTTACAGAATCTGGGTATTGAATATTACGATAGCATCTACCAGTTTGAGCCTCCCAAAATCGAATGGTGTGGTCATAGCTAGCAGTTGCAAGAATCACTGAGGGTTGACTCATCTTTGATTACCCTCTTTCTTTTTTGGAAATTTTTTCTTTTTGATTTAAGTTGATGAAAATTGAAAATACTCAATTAATTTTATGAATACAGACATTTCAATTTTCTAATTTTCAATAAAAACTTAAAATTAAAGTTGGATCATAATGGATTTGAGAGAGAAAGAGCAGAAAGGCGTGGGCATTAGGGTTTTATCGGGGTTTTATGGTTTTCAATGGAAATGAGAATTTGAATTTCTTCGCTAAACAAGATTAAGATTGAGCTTTGACATGAAAGACTTCAACAAGATTAAGGTTAGGGCTGATATTATATTAAGCGTTTTAGGTAGCGGTCGGCGTTTGGACTAAATCGAAACACTAGTACGCGTAGAAAATATAAGAGTGTTTGGTAAGCTAACGATTAGTGGTAGAGGTAGTGTTTTTATAGCTTTTCTCAAACGTCACAAATGTTAACGTTTGAAGGTAGCAAGTAGCGTTTGACAAATGTTGAGTACTTTTAAAACATTAGGTATGGTTTTTTATTGTATTTCAATATTGCAACCGCTATTTTTACCAAGTATTCATACTATTAAATTCTACATTGACAAATTAATCACTACTTGATCACTAAAAGCTACCTGTTACAGCTAGTTTTGCCAAACAGGGCCTATATTGTTGGTTATGTTTGGTATTCCATATATTTTATGCGGTTATTTAGAAAAATAAAATACAAAATAGTGAAAATCGATGATTAGATTTCACTGTTGTGGGTCCAATCCAAATCTTGCTAAAGCTGCAAAGTGTGTTTTTTATTTTGGTGTTTGTGATTTGTGAATGACCCAATTTATTGACATTTTACTTTGTGAGTTTGAGTTCAACTTGCGCTTATCATTTAATTATTTTGTCTTTTGGTGGTATTTTAAAATAAAAAATTTAATGGGTAATTAAATAAAAATAAAAAAAAAAGTGGACTTTCCGTATAATATAGTTTATCCTTAATTTTGACCTTTTAAGCCATATAGATTTTTGCAAAGAAGTGATTTTCAATAAGTCTTGTATAAGGCCGACTTACGTTAACTTTATTGTAAAACAGTCAATTTAAGGGTAACTTTAACAGTTTATACGGTAAATTTAATCTCTTTAAGGGTAATTTTTGAGTTGTAATGAGTTTGATTGTATTTTAATATGTAACTTCGAATGGATACATGCTATAAAGGCAAATATGATTAATCTAACATATTAAATGTCCATTGACTTCCCTTTTCCATATGGCCGACCAATCCATGACAACCCCACAACAAAGTAAAGGTAAAAATTATGTTAGGAAAACGGTAACTTTTGTAACATATAAGGGTAACTTTGAATACTTTTAGGATAATTTTAACACATCTTACAATAACTTAATAAAAGTCTGTCTTAATCAAGAATTATTGAGTGATTTTTATGAGGTAAATCTTTTAAAGGGTAATATGATTGTCTTTTTACATTATGAATTAGTTTTTTAGAGTTTTTTTTTTTTTTTGTCAAGAGAATATTTACTACTGGGATATTAAGAAAACAAGGGACTATAAATTAATGTTGCTTTTAATCATTTTAGAGTAATTTCACACCCTCTTACAATTACAAATTTATCAACAAGTCTTACATGCACCCTGGTGCAGCTAGGATAGTTGTATCATGCCCTATAATATGAACATGTAGTAAAAAAAATAGGAACACGAAAAAAAAAAACATTCAATAATAAAAAAAATGAACACGTAAAAAAAATGAACATTTAGTATTAAAAAGTGAACTTGTTAAAAAAAATGATTATTTAGTATATTTAAAGTGAACATGATTCTCATATAATCATAAAATTGATGGACCACGACCTTAAAAATGAACATTTAGTAAAAAAAAATAAAAAAAATAAAAAATTTGAACACGTAAAAATTAAAATGATCATTTAGTAATAAAGAAAATGAACACATAAAAAAATGAATATTTAGTACTAAAAAATGAATATTTAGTATAGTAAAAATGAACATTTATCATACATTCATAGAATAGCTAAACCATACCTAATAATATAAAGATTTCATAATAATATGTGAATACATTATATAAAATGAACACTTAGTACACGTAAACAAATTAACACGTTTAAAAAAATTATGAATGTTAGTATATTAAAAATGAACATGTTTTTTATATATTCATATAGGTTCAAATTCATTGTATATAATAATTAACAAAAAATAAAGATAAAATGTATCATTAATTTATCTTCATTTTTTGTATACTAATGTTCATTTTTAGTGTACTAAATGTTCATTTTGTACAAAATGTTCAATTTTAAAGTATTGCATGTTCATATTTTTTTAATTTACAGAACACAAATTTGATTGTAATTATTTTAACTCTAAAAATTTGAATATCCACCTTAAATATAATCTTGGTTCATTATAGTGACAATAATTATCGATCTATAACATAATAGATTAGGAATCACAAATGCAAAATTGATAAAAATCAACAGTTTTACAACATTCACATATTTATAATAAAAAATAAATAAATAAATAAATAAATAAAAACTCAAAATTACCTCAAGTTTCATGATCATGACGAAGATGATGATGATGATGATGGAAAATGCTACAATGGTGACGAATTGGAGAATATTCGAATTAGAAGGACAAAGAAGTATAAAGATTGAAGGAAAGTAAGGTAAGAAAGAAAATTAACTTGTATGTAAAGGTAAAAAAAATAAAAATAAAAATAAAAATAAAAAGAGGAGAGAGAAAATTTCATATTGAGAAGTAAACAGAGGAGAGAGAAGATTTATAGAGGTATGAAAGAAGAAGGTAGAGAGTTAAGATATAAAGAAGAAAAAAAAAAACGTATGTTCATTTTTTAATTACTATATGTTCATATACGGGTATAGTGGTGCAGCTAGCTTAGCTACGCACTGAATTTGCGCAAATTTATAATTGTACATTGGCTTAGATCATTGGCTTTTAGAGGGCCTTGTGTCATACATGCTTGAGGCCCAATAATGTGGGCTTAAATTAAAGACTTTCAACATTTTGCTGTACTATTAATCTACTATGGCTATATGCTAGTAATGCAACGAAGTAAAGAGTGCAAATGTGCAATGATATCATACTATCATTAGAGGATTATTAATAATTAATAAAGGTTTTAAGTTTTTCATGAATTAAACTGGAAACATATGATCTAAGCATATTCAGTGGTACATGACTCTATAAAGTATCTATTATTTACATTTATGAAGTACTCCCTCCGTTTCTAAAATATTTTATCCGTTTCTGAATAATTGACATAATTAAGGGTGATACACATGTCAATGCATTAGTAGTAAAACAATTTATAAAGATAGATAACATGAAACTTTATATTAATACCTATTTAACAATATATTTCATGATAAAATTTGTTTTTTATAAGTTACTTAAAAACGATGGTCAAAGTTAGTTTATAAATAGCAAAAAAAACCCAAATGCGTCAATTATTTGAAAACGGAGAGAGGAAAGAAAAAATGGCCCATCTATAATAAATATTACTCAAGCAACAACCGTTGATGTCGTCATTGTCTATGTGTCACTCTCTAATTAATTTTTTTCCCGACTAAATGCAAGGATGATTTCATTTTTTTTTAGGCTACCCTATTTAACATTGCATTGAAAATTATAATCTATTAACTATTACTAAAACAGGAAATGGCTGACATCATCATCTTCCCAAACTGTATACGTGTCGCTTTCTCATAAAAAAATTTCCCGCCTAATGCACTTATGATGTCATATATATTTTTGGTTATTTTTTATTTTTAATTATTTTCATTTCAATCTTTTGACCGTGTCAATAAATAAATAAATAATAATTATTTTTTGGTAACTACGAATATATATTTTTTTTAATTATTATTTTTATCTTTTTAAGGTTTTAATGTTATTTTGTGTATGTGTGTGTGTGTTTTTTTACTAAGGATTGTGCAAACAACTTAATTATGAAGTCATGTACTAATAATATGGATGTTTTTTATACAAAAATGAACTAATGTTGTTGGTAAATGTTTTCATTGTTTTGTATTTTCAAGGTGCTTCTATTTATTCTAATTACAAGTAATTTTAATTTGTATTTCGAACTCTTAGATGACGTATAAATTCGTATGCATATGGTTTGATTAGATCATATTGGTCAGCTTTCATTTTTATATTTTGTTACTTATGTAATTTATGATGATAGATATGTTTTTATGATCTAATTTATAAGTATGTCCGGAAAAATAAATAACAGAAATAAGTTATTTCATTCCAATAATTTTTTTAACCTGTGCATCGCACGAGCCTAATCTAGTTATAATATTACTTAAGTAACAACCGTTGATGTCATCACTATCTATGTGTCATTCTCTTATTAATTTTTTTCCCGCCTAAATGCAAGGATGATTTCTTTTTTTTTTTTAGCTACCCTATTATCATTGCTTTGAAAATTATAAAGCTTCTATAGTACGAATACCACTTATCATCTTATCCTAAGAAATTGAAACAATTTTGAGTATTACAATAATAAATAACCTCCTATTCCCATATTTCCCACTATCGTTTCATGTTCCCTTAGAGAACAAAGATTTTCATTCTTTCATCTCCTTAAATTTTACTCTATACTTCAAATCAGCTCCATTTACTCAATTCTTAGCCTTTTTAAAAAAAACATTTTTCTTTTAATGTATAATTCATTTTTTATGTTAAAACCGTGCATCTCACGGGGCTAACCTAGTAATACTAAAAACGGATAACCCTTAAAGCATTGCTTCATAGTGCAGTTGGTTGATTTTTCCAATTACATCCTACCTGCTCTCTGTGTCTCTTTTCGTGTCAATAGCTCTTCCCACACAATTGCAAAATTTTGCACTAGTTTCTTAAAAAAAAAATGAAATAATGTTTAGGAAGGATAATCGGCTCGGGCAATACCAAGATATCCAAGTTATTGTATGATTAAATTTATAATATTATACATGAATGTCATGATCAAATAATAGTGGGAAATTATCATTGGTACACCCCAGGTTCTGACTTTTCTTGTTGGTACCATTACTTTTTTTTTTTTCTTTTTTTTTTATTATCAGCGGTACACCCAAGGTTTTAGGCTTCTTAACTGGCGTGGTTAGTCTGTTAACCAAAGGTTAATAACGTTCTAATCTTATGGGTTTAGGTTATTAATAAAACATGGAAAAAATTACAATGTCCTTTTTTTAAACCACTATTTTCCTTAGCTTGCCATAATTAACCCCCACCCCTTCCATGTATGATGATTAGACTTCCCTCTTCTGCATCCATTCATCTCTTTCTTGCGTTTGAATTGAAGAAGAAGAAAGCTAGGGTTTTTTCTGAAAATTAAATTCCACAATTGCGAGTGCAAAAAAGGGCAATCGTGTGAATCAAAAGGTATTTATAACTTCCATTGTTGAGTTATTGCAAAAAGTTGTATCATTCTGTTTTGATGAGCATATATGTTGAATGATTGTTGTATATACTTGCGAAATTATATGAATTTCATGATTATGTGAATTATGTTCAAGTGGTGAAGTTATAGTGTGCTTATTTTGCAATGTTTAGTGTAATTATGAGCATGAATTATGTGATTTGGTTTAATTTTGGTAGAATTATGTGATTTGATTGAATTTTGGTAGGATTAATTAACATGTGATGAGTATTTGTTGGAATTATACAATGCTTGACTGGTGGAGGTATTGTGGGTGTTAGTTATTTTAGTTAACTACATGGTGTTAATTTTGGATGAATATTGGTGCATGTTGTAAGATTTTAGGTTGTTTTTTTTTCTTTCTTATTTTGCAGAATGAGTGATAGAAAAGTGTTGAGATTTTAGTACAAGGGTCATGATGTTGACATTGAAGTAGATGTTGATATGTGTAACATGATGGATTTGTGTATTGAATTTGAAGATCGATTACATAGAATGGATCCTCTAGTAGATATCTTGAACCCAAACTTTCATTATGCTTATAGAAAGAAACATTGGACTATTAAAGATGATGGTGGCTTAATTAGGTTGTTTCGAACTTTCCCTAAGGACCCCATAATATGCATCTTGGTTAGCACTGCTAAGGAACCAGATTTTATCAATGACTTAGTATTTGAGTATAGGATGAAACAAGCTGCTGCAAGTGATCACCCACCTCCTCCTCCTCCACCCCTACCACCACCACCACTTGCAAATCAACCTCCACTACCACCACCTACTGATCATGCTGACCCAAATAAACCACCACCTGTAGTACATGCTGACCCAAATCAACCACCACTTGTGGTACATGCTGACCCAAATCAACCACCACTTATAGTACATGTTGACCCAAATCAACCACCACCTGCAGTACATGCTGACCAAATCAACCACCACCTGACCAAATCAGATCAACCACCACGTACCGCACATGCTGACCCAAATCAACCACCACAAGCATCATTTATAAACTCATACCTAGGAGGAACAGTAATCCTGATACCCACTCACTTGATGACATCCCTTTAGCTGATGATGATGCTTTCATTGGCAATGATGACACTTGGATAGATATAAAACAAGAGTATAATGAGAGGAGTAGCAAGCAAATAGATAAGGAGTACAATAAGGGTAGGAAAGAATTTGAGAAGAGTTTAGAGAATATTTCAAAAGGGAAAAAGGGGCAGTCTAGCAAGGGTACCAATTCCAAATCCAATCCAAACAAACGTCCACAACCAGTTAGAGTAAGAGAGAAATTACCCCGTGCGGCCCCCTCACCTATCTCACCAAACACTGCATTTAAAACGTTACCTCTAAGAAGGAGTTCTATATTTCCCCCCTTGAAAACACTCAAGTAAACACATGTGAGGCAGCTACAGAAGCTAAGAAGCCATCACATTCCTCTGTCTTTAATAGAAGAATCCCTAGAAGCACAACTATTAGGAAAGGTTTAGAAAGTTGCCTATTATTCCAGTGACTGAAGTTCAGCTGCAGATTACAGTCTCTGAAAGTGTTAGGACTAGAGAGGCAAGATCTAGTGTGAGAAGGAAAGTATCATTTGATTCTAATGGGGAAGGTTCAGATGAGAGTAGTGATGTAGATTTTGTTGCAACTAGGGATACTGATGGGTCAGATTCTAATGGTGAGTTTAAACCAAGTGGACCAGGCCAGTACCTACAGATGAACTAGAGGGACTTAAGCGAGTTCCTAAAGTGAAAGATAATTAGAAACCTGAGAAATAGTATGGTTTCATAGATGATAATAATGATGATGACTACTTTATTAATTTGTACAAAATGGAGAGATCTATAAAGAAAGGGACTTTGGAAGGATAGAGCTAAGACCTTGGATGATTTTTACTAACAAGGTTCACTTGAAAGACACTATGAAGGACTTTGCTGATGAAGAAGGGTTTGCCATCAATGTTGAGGCTGTAGACAACAGAAGACATATTGTGATATGTTACTCTGAAGCATGTGATTGGAGGTTGCATGCTAGATGGTAGGACATGGGCTATTAAGAAGATATGGCCAAATGTTCATACATGTAGGGGGTTGGAGACTTATAATCCCATTTGTAATGTTAAATGGGCTGCTAATAAATTGATGGAGGACATTAGAGGCTTAGAGCTAACCCAAGCATTCCTAGGAAAGCACTTAATGAGCTGTTATTTCTGAGGTTTGGAGTTTACATGAAGCAAGCAACTATGTACAGGTTGAAGAATTATGTGATCAATGTATTGTTTGAGGGGCATGATGAGTCATACTCAAAGTTGTCAATGTATGCTAAAGTTGTCAAAGCTACTAACCTAGAGTCTAAAGCTTTTGTTGCTTGAACACAGACAGAGTGCATTGACATACATCTTCTTTTTAGAAGCATATTCATCTCTTTCACTGGACAATGGAAAGGGTTTCTTAGGGGATGCAGACCTTTGATTGGTGTGGATGGTACACACCTTAAAGGAAACTATGGTGGTATTTTGCTTACAACTGTTAGGTTGGATGGAAATAATGAAATATTTCCCATTGCATATGCCATAGTAGGCCAAGAAGATAAGGAAAGCTGGTCCTTTTTCTTCTGGCATCTGTTGAATATTGTGAAGGAGTCTTCTAGGAAGAATTAGACTATCATAAGTGACAGGGAAAAGGTAAAATCTTAACCTGTCTTGTTATGTATGTATGGTTTTATTTAACTTATATGTACTTAAAATGTTTCATTGACTTAGGGTGATGACTTAGCTTTGACATAACTATGGCCTAAAGCAGACAAGAGGTATTGTTGTAGGCACTTAAGCAAGGGAAAAGATTTATCAGGAACAGAAAAAAGAGGAAGGGGAGGAACAACCAGGAAAGAGATCTAAGACAGTCAAATGTTCAAAATGTGGGTGCATTAGACACAACTCCATAACTGGAAAAGAGTTAAAGGCATATGAGCCTGTTGTGATCCTTCGACCATCTTTTTTCTTATCGCGTCGTGACAAAACTATCGCGTCGCGATAAAGAGAGTTTTACTCCAATTCGAATTCTGACTCTTTTCTGATCCTTCGACCCTATTTTTTTTATAAATAGAGGTCGTTTCACCCCGTTTTCAATCATCAAAAAGCTTGATTACCAACCATCATCATCTAATCCCCTCTCTAATACTTTCTATCTCTCTCTCTCTCTCTATTGATTCTTTTCTTAGCTTAGCCTAAACACATCCCAACACCTCCCAAACACATCCTTGATATTTTTCCTAACCAAACACAATACATCCTTCACGAGCTTTGAATACTCCTAGCCAATCTTGAAGTTGCCTTCGATCTCGATGTGAAAGGTTGATAGTTCTGAGGGTTTGGTCCCAAATCTATATTTCAATTCTTTTTTGATTTAATCTTTCTTGAAGTTTACTAATGTGTGTATTGTTTTGATAGAAAGAAGTACGAGGCATCAAAGTGAGTAATTCGATTACTTGATTATTCTTTTGACATAGAAATCATGCTTAGAATATTATTTTAATTCCTAGTATCATGTTAGGATGTTGATTATGATTCCTAGTATCATGTTTAGGGTGTTAACTAATGTTTCTAATATCATGTTAAGGCTAATACTTTGATTATGATTTTTATTAGTGACATGCTAGGGTTTGTTATTAATTCTTTTAATATCATGCCTGGGATCTTACTATTGATATTTAATTATGATTATGATTGTTGTGTCAATTATACATTGCTTGATTATTCATGATTGATTGTTATTGCTTGATCACGCCCTTTATGCAGGTTTTAAAGGGAATTTGTACTTGAAATCACGCCTAATAAGATAATTAATAATTTGATTTAGGCTAATATGATTTTAATTCAAGTGATCGCCAATAATAGATTTATTTGTGGATTAATCAACCAACGTAGATTAAATATGTTTAGGATTAATTTATTGTATGTATGTTGATCTGAAAGCGCACATGAATATCATAAGAATTAAGTAGAGGCCGATTTAGGGCGGGTTCAATCTTTTTTAGGTTGGATTCGTACCATCATCCCCGAATATCCAGTCATGGTTCCGGACCACTATGGAGTTAGCGATCTCCATGATCGTAAATGGGGTGTAACCTTCACACCCGTGAACGACTTACAAGTTCCTAAAACTTGTTGGCGACTCTTTTATTGCTAGCTTCCTTCCTTTTGGACGCCACCATGCCTAAAAGCATGATCACACTGGGGCTCAAAGTTGAGTTTGAAAAATTCCCTACAGTAAGTCTTGTCAGCTCAGTGTTTAGTCATGAGGTTTATGATGCTCTTTTTATATTCCGGCCCTTGTTAGGTTTTTGTTAATTAAATTAGTTGTTGTTGGTAGGATTATCTGAATATTGATAAAAGATTATCGGAAGATTGATAAAAGATTATTATGGTTTGTTAGCTCTCCCAAATGGATGTAAGAAGTATCATAACTACCTTTTCAAATTATGACAGTTTCTATTTGATGCATGTTATGTTAGATTTCAAAATTAGGAGGAACTCCGTATTTTTGAACTGAATACTTGACCTTTAAGTCTCTAAAAAAAAGGTTTTTGTTATTCTGAAAATGCCTAGATATTTCAGTTTTGATATTCTGAAAATCCCTAGATATTTCAGTTTTGATAGCTTGAATATGCCTAGATATTTCAGTTTTGATATTTTGAACATGCCTAGACATTTCAGTTTTGATATTCTGAAAGTGCCTAGAGATTTTTGAATAGCTTTTAAGAAATGCATTCAGATTAAATTTATGGAACTGTTAGGTAAAGATTGAAGAGTTTTAAAGGGTTGGAATTTTGAAATTATTTGATTAATTTCAATTGTTGGGTTTTTTGTTTTTTTATTAATCAATGAGAGTGATTATTTAAGTGGATTGGGTTATTGTTCATATCTGAACTTCTTAAGGGGATTAAGTTAATGTTGTAGTTTTATTCTGTAATGGAACACAATGAGAAATATATTGACATTGTCTTTTAATGCATGCTATCGTATTTGTAAGAAGCCAACTTCACATCTTATCTTTATATTTATAAAAGTTAATATGGGACAGTTGCAGTGTATGATTTCTTCACCCTTTTTTTTTTTTTTTTTAAATTTTTTTCTTTTTTTTTAATTTTGTCTTCCGAATTATTCGACTGCATTCAAGTGCCTAACCTGGCTTTTAACTTGCGTTTTGACAGTATTTCGGGAAGTTTGGGTTCATTATATTCGATTGATAGGAAATACTTTGGTGCCATGTTGAGAGAGTAAGCTATGTGTTTGGGATTAGATTCGTTTTCATCGCTTTTTTGACTTTGATATAGTAGACATGTTTGTGTAACAAAATTTTGCATGGGAATTGTTTCTTGAATTTATAGATACATAATGTTATACATGAAACTTTAAGGTGAACATGGCTTAAGTTAACCAAGGATCTAGCGTAAACATTATATCAAGAAGCTATAGACGGGTGTTTATGTAATACAATATTCTCATTAAAAATGTAATCTCTACTCATCATATCAAAGGATAATATCGTACGATGTGAGTTTAAACACCAAAATCATTTCTTGATTTTAAAGTACATATTTAAGACGAGAAAACATGAGCCACTATTTTTAAACATTAATTGATTGAATATGTGATTTTTCGTATGAATATTCTGCTCAAATATCAGTTCTAACCAATCTTGGACTTGTGACCACTTAATGTTTGTTCTGATTGTGAAACTATTATTTATTTTTATTTTTTTTAATGTCTGTTAATTTAATTTGCTACTGATATAACCTATTCTTGTTTGCTTATGTGACCTTGGTTTGTGTAATGAAGGAATATCTTATTACGGATTTTGGGTATTGATTATATTGTGAATTATGATGCAGTACACTATAAAGTGAGATAATATTTGTTTATGTTCGACTTTTGCACCTTAAGCCCAACCTAAGAGCCATAAAATCGGGAGACATTTATTCAGCATGCCTTGAGTTTTCCTGTAGTATATACGAGTTATTTCTTGCTCTGTGCACCTATTTGAATAATGTAATCTGTGTCCAGGGATTTTTATCAGTAGCAGAGGTGCATACCAAAGGTATAGTAGGTTTCCTATCAGATATATGTCAGGCACTATGCTATGCTTTCTTGGTGGTTCAACACTCATGGTTGCTTATCTACATGAGAATCTCCATGATATTGGGGCTTATTTGGTACAGTTGTGCATGGACAGCCAAGAAGTCAACCTCAACAATTGATAGCAATTCAAGGCTTTTTAGGAGGCTTTTTCTCCAGCATTAGCAAATGAGAATGGCCAAGAAAACTTGCAACTAGAGCCAATTGGTGAGTTTTAGAGAAATATTTATTTATGTCATGCTACATTATAACATTATTTCTCTATTTTATAAGCTCCAAGTTGTGCCTCATGCCTGCTCAACCTCCTTTCCCCCCCCCCCCCCCAATGTGTACAATTAAAATCTCTCCCGAGTGGTGGTGCATGAAGGGATTCCTCTACCTTTAGGAGAGTGGTTTTTACAAAGACTTTTATAAATTTTAGTATTGTAAGCAAGTATAAAAAGATTTCCTAACCTTTGTGATACATGGGAGATAAGAGAAAGAAGGGGAGGCAGGGAGATAAGAACATCTACATATTCGAACGCTAAACTTGTAGTCATTGTCATATTCGTTATTTTCTCTTTATTATTTCTTTTAAAGGATCTTTATTTGAAATGTGTTTCTAAAACTGGTGGGATAGTTATTGTTACATAGTTGATGCTTGATCATGCTTAGTCACTCCGACTTTATTACCTTTGATAAATGTCTAAGTAAAAGCATTATGTGATGGACATTTTTGGGCCCTTTTGTTTCATGAAATCGGTTTTTTAGGTGAGTATGTACTTTGCATAAAGATAGTTCTGGGATTTCTATTGTTTCTTTTGTTGGGGTTGATGGTAAAAGGTATTATTACCAAACTGGAGTGTAACAGAAATTAGAATTTCATTTAACTTTGTTTCGTATCTGAAAGTAGAAGATTGTGCCGTTGATCTAACAGAGGAGAGATCTAAATTTCTCTCTTTTGTATGAATTAATCTATCGATCAGTCAAATAAACATACAGTTTTAGATTTGGTGTCTTTTACTTATGTATTTAATTTGTGTGAATAACGAGTTGCTAAAGGAATAATATGGTCTTATGTGGCAAAAAAAAGTTAGGATTTGGGTTTTATGTGGCAGCAAGAAGGAATGTTGCCTGGCATTAATGCCTTTTAGATGATAGCCAAAACTTGTGCCACTAATTCATCCAGTAATTTTCCACAAAGTTCTTATGTTGTTTGTTTAGTGTACACAAACTTCAATTCTTGTATGAAAATTTATGTCTAGGGTAGCAGTTTGGTGTGTGTGTGTGGTCTATACCTTAGCATTATGTCTGATTCTTTAGCTTTCGTGTATGAAAATTTTATGTCTAGGGCAGTGACTGTAAAGAAATGACATAATGTTTTCACTTGATGTGAATTGTTTGGTAGCTAACAATTACGTTATTATTTTGTTCTAGGATAAGCATTTTCGTCGAGGATTGCAAGCAAAGGTGCATCAAAGGATGAAGCTGTTGAAATATCTGAGGAGAACTAACTGGGAGTCCTATTACTTTGTTCTTTCAAAACTTAGCCTTTGTGACAACCCTAATTACATGAATTATGATTGTATAACGATTACTAAGTTTTCATTGCAGTAATGAATATTATGCCTTTAATCTTCTTGCTTCTATATTCACTTCAAGAAGTCCTTTGTTGGTTAAAAATCAAAGGTGCTAATGGGTAGCTGAGATTAGAAATATTAATGCATCCTTCCATCATTTTGTCTTAATTTGTATACAGTGCATAAAGTGATTCAAAGTTCCCATGTAATAAAGCCGAGTGTAGCAATATCAGTTCTGGCTAACGAATGTTTGATTTTTTGGGGGAGAAATGCCCTTTTGTAAACATAGCATTTGCTTTGGATACTTTATCTTGCATTGTTAAGGAAAGAGGATGTAATGTAGAGTTATTTTTCTCTAGAATGGTACTTCATCTTGCATTATGTCTCTTTGATGGTGGAGAATAACTTCTCTCAATTTTTCAAAGGTTGATGATAAGTTGATAACAACACGAACTGTTTTATCAGAGGGGTAGGCAATAGGTTTCTTGGCTATTAGTGGAGATTTTGGTTGATAAAATTGTCAATTGATACTTCAATTAGGCATAGCCAAGCATGGAAACTATGAAAATAAGTCTATTTTCTATATCATTAATTGATGCCCTAATTTATTTTTTGCATTACAAGTTGCCATCACATGAATTGGTCTTGATGTCCAATTGTCTTAGGCATTGCATTTACATTGAAATATGTTGTATATATGGGCAGTTTGTGCAACTTCTCTTTGTAAATTAGTTTCATTCTCAATGTCTATGCAAAATGTAAATCAAATGCATACAAGCTAATGTACTGACCATGTTTTTCAAATGTGATTTGCATGTACAAAGCTATGAGTAATTTCATTCTTTCGTAAAAAAAAAAAAAAAAGTATTATGCTAATATAGTTAATTGGGAATTCAAATTAAAATGATAATTTTTTGCCACAATTAACTCCTTGGAGCTTCATTTTTAAGAAAAGCTTGAATTCCTACAAATCGGAAAATATTTGCGGCCGATGGTTGAGCAATCATTACTCATTGGTTGATTGTTTAATTTATAATTGGATATATGCTAATCGGCTTATTAAAAAATTCATAAATAATACATTAAAAACATTTTTCACTAATTACCTTTTGCAAGTTGGGGGGGGGGGGGGGGTTTGCGCGCGTGTAGGGGTGAAAGTTCGGTTTTCGGTTTGGTTTTTTGCCCAAACCGAAACCGAACCACTCTAATTCGGTTTCTGGATTTTAGAAACCACACCGCACCTCTTTACTTTCAAAACCGAACCAAACCAAACCATTATTATTTCGGTTTCATAAAAAAAAAAACCGAACCAAACCAAATTTTCTTATCAAGTACCATAAACATCAAATTTTGCAAAAAAAAAAAAAAACCAAATCAAACCACACCAATCAAAACCGAACCAAACAAAACCAATCCATACAAACATAATTAAACAAGTTTTCTAACATGATAAGAAAAAATTGAATAAAAAGTGCCGAAATATCAGAAAAATATTTGGACATAAATTAGAAGTTTAGCATAAATTAGTAGAAAAAAAAAACTCAAACCAAATTAAAAGAAAGAAAAAAAGGGCATACCTCACATTCCATCGAAAAAACATCGAATTTGGCTTTTAAAGGTCAAATTCGACCATGAAAACTCTAGATCTAGAGTTTTCATGGTCGAATTTGACATGAAAAACCTTTAGTTGATGGTGTTAAATCAAAACCTCGAATTTAGTAGATGGTTTTCGTAGATGGTGAAGGAGGGCGAATTTGAAAGCAAATTCGTGATGTATTCGTTAATGGTGGCGAGGAGAAAGACAAGAAAAAGGTTGATGGTGTTCGTAGATAGTGAAGGCGAGAAACGAAGAAGAGGAGAGGAGAGAGAATGGACGGAATCCTCAAGAGGAGAAGAGGAAAGGAGAGAGAAAGGGTGGGGGAGAGAGTGTTAGGTTTTTTTTTTTTGCATTAAATACCTAGGGTAATTTAGAGTTGGGCTAGGGTTTAATTGGATTGGGCCTATATTTCGGTGTGGTTCGGTTTTGTTCGGTTTTTCATTTTCGCAAACCGAAATCGAACCACACACCGAATTTTTTTTTTTTAAAAAACCGAAACCGAACCACTCCCGAAAAAAACCGAACCAAATTTCTTATTCGGTTCGGTTTTCGGTTTGGTTCGGTTTTAAACCGAGTTTGTTTCACCCCTACGCGCGTGGGGTGCACACCAACAACTGGTAATTTAAAAAAAAAAAAAAAGTAATGGTACCAATGAGAAAAGTCAAAACCTGGGGTGTACCAATGATAATTTCCAATAATAATTTATTATATGCAATGATTTATACATTTTTTTTAAAGAATAACATACATGCTATGAGACACTAGTCTATATCTATACTTATCTATTAAAAAGCGTTCCTAATACAAGATATGTGCAACGTCACACCCTTCACATGTATTAGAAGTATGCCACATCACCATAATATACTACATCATCCATTTTACTATAAACATGCTTCAATGGTAATATAAATGTTTATCACAAGGTTTGAACACAAAACCAATAACAAATGAATTAATGTTCGTTCTTACCAACTTTGCTATCTTTTAGTTATACTTCATATTCAATTATAATACACTAAATACTTTAATTTGTACAAAACATCAATTTGAGAGCGTTTATTTAGTTTCAATAGTTATTATTGCTCACTTATTTTTTGTAATTATATAGTTTATGATTTTATAACTCAAATAATATTTATTGATATTCAAAGTAAAACCTGGTGTATCGCCCGCGTCACATACTAGTATAACAATTAATTAGTGTATAAACTTGAGATTACAGGTTTAAAAATCTCGTTCAATTCATGATTGAGTATCATATGACACGTGTATTTGCTTAAGTTTGTCAAATTGTGTTGTATATTTTGATTATTTGGTCCTATAAATATTTTAAACAATGAAGAGGATTGTAACAAACTAACAATGAAGTCATGATATGAAATTCTCCAATCAAAGGAAAAGTTTGCTTCGTTATTGCTTGTACCATATGTTCTAATTAGGAGTGTATACAAAAAAAATTTATCTAAAATGTGAAACATGCATGTATATACATCAATATACGAGACTGAATTGAAGCATATATATTTTTATATAAATTTTTTTGGTAAGAAAAAGGGTCCGGCCTACTAAATTGATCTTAATTCACTCAAAGCGACACACTAATATAATTCAATATATATTCTCGATAATAATTTCTACAACGAACAAAGGGAGTTGTATACTTTAGGAGGACCCCTCTTGGTGTTATCTATGATAATGATGCAACACATATATAACTTTCATAGAGATGGGAATACATGTCATATTTAAGAGAACATTGTACATTGTTTGATCACCATCGATCTCTTCAAAGCTCGATCGGTTAAGCTTGCACGTACCATCTACTAATAGTACTTTGTATTCGTTGCTCATTAAGTGTTTTACCATGATTGCCTAGTTGTACCATTCACTGACACTCTCATCATCTTTTCTTAGCGAAATCATTTTATATCCAACAATTTTATGCTGTAATGTCTACTTTTATAGTAGCATATCATTATCCATCCAAAAGTTTCATTTTTCAAGTAGCTTATGTCTTGTATAAATCTGTTACACAAAAAAAAAAAAAAATATTATTATTATTATTATTATTATGCGCCGAATTAAGAAATAAAAATAGATACCTATATAATGATTATTTATACAGATGTTGTTCCAAATGTATATGTAATCCAACAGCCAATCTAATTGCATGCATGAATATACACTTTATAATAAGATACTATTACAATAATCAATTGACTTCAAGGATAGGAATTTCTTTTACAAGCTAAGAAGTGTTTAAAGTATGAAACTTGATTGCTTAATTAGCTAATAGTTAGATAGAATATCTTAAACTAATTTACATCTTGTATTATACAACTGTTGGTTGAGTATTACTGAAGATTTAGTTGAGTAACACATGCTCTTATGTTAGTACATGGCAATAGATGGTATAAGAGGATGAACCTTAAATTAATCATTAGTTTAAAATTTAGGTGTACTTGGTCTAATTCACGTAGAATTAGGGTGACACAAAATGTTTCTCTTGTCTTTCAACACAAAATACTATGCATGAATCAAGGGTAGTAAACAAACAAAAGTTAAAAGGAGGATTTACGCACCATTTATACCTCAAATGAAATGTGCATTTGCTTGACAATTAGTAATTTCATAAGAATTTAGCACAAATGTTGTCTTTATTAAAAAGGGGATAAATGTACTGTCTTTTAACTTGACGTATAAGCAGTCAATATCGTACGCATTTAGAAGTACTCTTATGTATTGAAAAGTGATCTAATCTAGCGTTTGCTTGTTTTGGTGTATGTATCATATGTGATTAACTAACACAATACATGCTCTTTCACCAGTTAGACACGACAGTAAACAAACTACATCACCACTTGTGCGTGTGCATGTTATGTACACGTTGGATTGAAAGCACGCACCATTCTCATTACTCTCGGGTGCACCTAATATTATTCAATCAAAACTTCGGGTAAGCTGTTGGGTCAACCAACTTGGCATCCAGCATGGAGGTCACTATCAATGATTATACATACACTTCCACAAAGATGGGCTCATGCTATATATATACGTGCTAATAATATACTTTTGTAATGATCAATCTACAAAATTTAGCTCTCTTTTGTTCCATAATTATAATAAATCTCAAATAACTCCGGCATATTGTATGTGGGGTTGTCTTATCTAGCTCATTTATTTCAATCATCTCCTTTACCAAGGTTGATAAATTAAAGCCATCTATTAGGCTCCTCCATCCTTGCTAAACAACACCCAAAAGCAACAACAATACTTATTCAAAAGCTCATATAGCTTGAAAGTGTTTAATCTTTCATCATGAGCTATTGATAAACGCAAAATGATCAAATATACAGTATAATCTAAAAGATCGAGTGTATATTATATATATCTTAGGCTTTTACCTAACTTAATCAAATATACACATAATATGTGGAGTATATGTGAAAGGAA